ATATGTTGTTATTTTCAGGAGACTGTGGGCTGCTCAGATATGCCATTGTTTGACATGTAAATGCTGACAGAAATGTTGATATCTTTATGAAATTGGGTAATTTATCAAAAATTTCCCAAGCGCCTGTAAAATTTAGTACATTTTTCCTTATAGAGATCTTGAAAACAAGTATCACCTCAGATCCCTTTTCAGAAATTGTTAGTCTGGAGTTTCTGTGAGCTGAAAGTGCAATAATTTTGATGGTGATTCATTCTGTTGGTCAGTATGAGTAAAAATAAACAATTAGCATAAGGCAGCCATGTTTTTACCAATGTTTTGTTCTGTTGGATTCATGCATTTCTCTTACCTGTTACTGTATACTGCCAACAAAATGTCTCTGTTGTTTCAGCCTTAATTGACTCTGAAGCCGAGGGGAATTTCATCAATGCCCGACTCACCAAAGAGCTGCAGATTCCTGTGGAACACCTGAAAACCTCATTACAAGTCATGGCATTAGACAGAAAGCCTGTCAGAGCCGGGATAATCACTCACTTGACACAACCCATAAGTACCAATGCTATGCATTCAGAACTCATTACTTTTTTCGTTCTTAAAACTTATGAATTTCCATAATTTTTTGTAAAACATCACCCGTGTATATCTTGGACAGAATGTGAGCTACTCTCATGGTCAGATTTTTGTTTTGAAAACTGCATCACTCCTTCAGTTAGAGTAAACTGTACCTCCATAGAAAGCCGAGAAAATGACAACCGAATTGATATTCCTTCTGAATACGCAGACGTCCAGGAGGTCTTTAGTAAAAGAAATGCTACTAAATTATCGCCACATCATCTCTATGACTGTGCCATAGATTTGATTGAAAATCATGTTCTTCCCAAGCCTAGAATATATCCCTTGACCCAAAAAGAAGAAAAAGATATGGACACTTATGTTCAGGAAGCATTAGACCAAGGGTTCATTAGACCATCCACAAAGAAAAAAGTGTCAGTTCAGAGAGTAGCCTTCTTAAGTTATATCATCAGTCCCAATGGCATAGTAATGGACAGTAACAAAGTTCAAGCAGTGGTTAACTGGCCTCAACCTACTTCCATAAGGTTCTAGGTTTTTCCAGTTTCTACAGAAGCTTCATCCGTAATTTCAGTGTAATCATAGCTCCTTTGATAGCCCTCCTAAAGGACACTCCTAAGAGAATACAATGGACACCCGAAGCAGAACAGGCCTTCAGTTCTTTGAAGGTTGCTTTCACTTCTGCCCCTGTTCTGAAACACCTTGACCCTGCAGAACCATTTGTAATGCAAGTAGATGTGACAGAAACTGATCTTTGTTCTTCTCATGTTTCAAATTCAGTATTATCTATCGCCCAGGTTCCCGGGTCACTAAAGCAGATGCACTATCACGCATGTATCAGGAGAGTGAGGGGGAGCTTGGAGAGGAAGAACCAGCTAACATTCTTCCCCCTAATGTTTCTGTTTTCTATTCGCTGGGAGACTGATGAAGAAATCGATCATGCATTAGAGAGTATTCCACCACCTAGTCAATGTCCTCCAGCAAAGAAATACGTCCCCCAACAATTTTGTGACAGGCTTATCACTTGGGCCCACTCCTTACTAACTTTAGGACATACAGGAGAAACATGTACACAGCAATCGTTATTGGTGGAAACACTGATGTTCACAGATTTGTAGCATCTTGGTCCACTTGCCCTGGTCACATGAACCGGTGCCACTTCTGACATCCCTACAGTGGATGAATGGATGAAACGGAGTGAGAGAGTATGGGAGGAGACTTATCAAAGAATTGAACAGATGTTACAACAAAACAAGGACAAAGTGGACTGTCACCGTAGTGAAACGCCCACCTATCAGCCTGGAGACCGGGTTTGGCTGTTGACCAGGGACTTCAGGTTTGCAGAGGGAAGTAGAAAGTTACACCCCAAATATATAAGTCTGTTTAAAATTGTAGACAAAGTGAATAACATTACTTACAAGCTTGATTTGGCACCATGGTATTGAGTTTCGAATTCCTTTCATGTTTCCCTTCTCAAACCTGTGGTTCCAGGTCCGTTGGACAAGGCTACACTCAATGTCACACCACCACCTCCTGGGGAGGTGGATGAAGCCCCAGTTGACATTGCCCGACAGTTGCTAGACTCACAAAGACGAGGAGAGGCACTTCTAGAATCTAGTTGATTGGGAGGGGTAGGCCCTGAAGACCGTTGCCGGATTCCTGCTGGGGACATTCTGGACCCCGGCCTGATCACGGATTTCCACAGCCAGAACCCGGACAAGCCAGCTCCTCATCCTAGAGGCTGTCCTGGGAGGGACGCCATCCAATCCCTTCCCAGAGGTCACCATGGTCGTTGCATAAGTTCCCCATCGGACCAGCACCGTGGCAGCTCTGGGCGTGCTCCTGTTCCTGCCTTGGGTTGCGTGAGTGGTGGTTGCCGCAGTTGGCCTTGTCCCGGACTCTTTGGGGGGGTGGGTACTGTCACGCATTCCTCGAACCCTGTTCTCAGGAAGGACTCAATCTCCCAGAATTTTCTAGGAGATCACATGACTATCTCTCCACCAAAACCAACCAATCTCCATCCCCCTTTGCCTGAATATTGTTATGTAGATATGTAAAAAATGAATGAAGTTGATAAAGTAGAATCTTACATATCTTTTATTTGTGCTGTTTTCAATTAAGCTGCAAAACCCTCAGTTGTGCATAAACTGTGGGCATGGGTGGTCGGAGTAATACATACAGAATCACTGTAATAAACTTTAGACAATAGAGGCTTACCTTTTCAGCTGTAGTAATTTGAACAGAGGTTTTCTAACGTGTCGACTTTTGGGCTGTGGACTCTTGGCTCTTGAGGACTGCCCACTTAATCACTAAGCATTCCTTCTCAAAGGTGCTGTACAAAGTCTCTTGCATTGACAGTCCAAATACCATACCTCCACCTTTCCACTAGTACACTTCTTCAGGTCCACTTAAAGGACTTCAAGCCAGCCCTCAAATCTTGATCCTGCAGTAGCCCAGGAGGAGGGATAAGACTACCACCCTGCCTAGTAGGAGAAGAAACTACCACCATGGTTGAGGAGGAGGGATAAGACTACCACCCTGCCTGGTAGGAGAAGAAACTACCACCATGGTTGAGGAGGAGGGATAAGACTACCATCCTGTCCAGGCTGACAGCTGAGACTACCACCTTGCACTGGAGGAGACATAAGACTACCACCCTGGCCAGGTGATTTGAATGAGACTAGATGGTTCAGCTAGATGGATGAGGCTGGCCAGGTTAGACAGTAAAACGTAAGAGGGCAGTGACTAAACTATACGTCACTAAGTACTTCAAACATATACAATATATTTTGCTTTTTACAGACAGAAGAGAAGTCCATCATGGAGGTGGAGTACTTCCTGATGGAGCAAAGCAATGACATCATCATAGGTTTGCAGTATGAAAGTCAGTCCTGCACAAAACGTTTCTGAACATGGGGTCTCCAGGACTGACATATGGTATATGATGTCATACGGGTGTTGTTTATTTTTTTTTTGTTTTTGGTAAATCATTCTTTAATTTGTAATTGAAGCCTACTGTGATTGCACATTTAAGAACTGCAGTGGTGTCAGAATATTTAAGATGTATTTCTGCCCTAGTCTGGTAACCATGAAGGAAGACGAAGCAGCAGAAGCACTACAGCCATTCTTTACACTGAGAGCAAATCGTCACAGTGGAGGAGAGAGATCACATTCACATTCTCTCCTTCTTCATATTTTGTTAATGTGAGTAACATGCACAGGTTTTTGGACCACAATCAGAATCTAAACAATTACTGTGCTGTTTTGGATTTTTAAAATGTCAGACAAAATGCAGAAAATTTGTTGACTGAAACTGTGGCTATAATATTTTATAGTTGTTTATTACTTTGTATGACGTTGTTAACATTTTTATATTATGTTGGAAATACAGTCCTTACTCTAACACTTACATTGGCATATTTGGAATCAAACCCCCCGTTGCACCACTTTGCCCACTGTCACAATCGCTATTGTTTCTGACTACCAACATAACAAATGGGCATGAATGGGCCTGTCCAATTACATTAGTAATATACTATTTTACCATTAGATTGCATGTGTGGTAGCACAAAAAAGCCCATAGGGTCTTTTGCTAATTACAAGTTAGAGAAGAAGCTTTACATAAAACAAACCAACAACAATAATGATAAAAAGAACCATTTGTTTATATAGCACTTTATATTTTTGTGACAAATTCTCTAAGTGCTTTACACAGGAATATCAGCAAAACATTAGAAATATAAAATACCATGGTCTGAATAAAACAGTAGTGCAATTATAAACAACAGGAAGTGAGCCACTTTAAAAAACACCTATTGAGTTTGTATTTCTAACACTCTCTGGAACAGGGTTGCCAGGTTTCTTTAACAGATTCCAGACTGTTAAAGACTTGCTCAAAGCCTGCCAAAATACATGGAGAATAGCCCAAATTGTGCATAAAAACAGTAAAATTAGCATCTCAACCTTAATATTATGACATTGCATTTACAACAAACATGGCAACACTAGCCTAATAAAATGGCCATATTTGTGCACTAAATATCAGAGCAAGGATACAAAAAAACATAAAATTATAAAATGAACAGCCTTTTCTACTGTAATATAGAGGGAACCCAAACAATAAAAACATTTTAGTTCATTTTAATGACAACTTCTAAGTCTTTAGAGCATGAGTTACCACATCTGGAACTTTGCACATGTACGGTATTTCTTTTATTTGATTACTTAATAACCAAATGAACCAAGCTGGCCTCTGAAGCCAGCCCAACTCAGACTTACATAATGCCTTTAGCATAAAAAGCTTAAATAAGAAAGCTTTATGTAAAACAAAAGTAAAAAATATGAAAGAATATAGCATACATGCCAAATATCAGAAGAAAGACAAAGTCATTAAAATGAAAGGAGGACAAAACACATTTATGTGATTTATGTAAAAGAATAGGCATCAATGCTGAGCACACACAGATGTTACCAAAAGCGGGTATGACATCCAGTATGAATGTAAGGTGCCATTGATGGTGAATATCTGCTGCTGGTGAAGCCTTTGAAATTCAAAATCAGTGTTAAGATAGTGGATCATCCTGTGGAATACATGACACTTTTTAAGTATTTCAGTCTCCATAAAACTCATTGTAGCTTCTCATGAAATTACAGAATATTTGGTATTTCTATTAACTTACAGTGGGGGATAAAAAAAAATTTTTATACATGAAATTATGTTTGAGTAAGGTGCAGTTACTGCATATCTTTATCAAGTGATTACCTCAGAGGGATCAGAAGGTTTAAGCTCAGAGGCAGTTAGAATGTCCATCTCTGGAAGAACCTACGTGAAGAAACAAATCACACAAACTGTTCTCAGTAAACCAAAAAAGGTTATTCCATGCAAACTAAGCTAATACTTGGTAGGTCACATCATGGATTCTCATGACAAAAATTAAACAAAAAGCATATTTTAATTCATGCAATCAAAAAAAATTGTGCCTCAAAAAAAAGGCTTTTAGTTTTAATTTTTTCTATGAAGTTCACCTTAGCAGATTAACCAGATCAACTGAGTAATACAACACTAAAAAACATCTTATATTAAATAAAATACTTAAACACTTATTTCCATTTTTCTAGCAAATCTATAAAATAATAATTCCCGAATTTTTCTGTACAATATATTTACATGAAAATTTACATTTACAAAAATAAAATCCATATTAGAGGCCTACTTGACTTTTCTTAAATAAACACAAGTCAGTCTGCATTAAATATTCTACAGAGCTATAATAATACATAATATATTGTACTGCATAAAATGAAGATATTGCCAAAATAATTTTGAGAACTGATTCAAAGAGTAAAGTCAAACTCTGACACAAAAAACTTTAACCTGAAACTAGTTGATTTAGATTTAAAACACTGTTTGGAGTGCAGTTTTTAAGTAAAGGAGTTATAAAACTTGCAAAATAAATGAGAATAAAAAAATGTAAAGTGAATGAGAATAGAAATTAAAAACATGATTAAACAATAGATTTTAAAAGAGAAAAATCATGAAATTTAATATCCAGTAAAAAATTAATTAGGAAAATTAAAAATCAAATTAAAGATTAAGTTAAGCTAATAGAGCGGCATTAGAGGACAGAAGAGCAGTAGAGCTAACAGTATTTAAACTGAGCTGAAAGCTGCTCAAACAGAAACGTTTTCATGCTGGTTTAAAGTGTCCAGTGTCGGGGCTCTTCTAGTGCTCCCTGTCCACTGGGTCCATTTAAGAGCAGCATAGTATCTAAACGCTGCCTCTCCATGTTTAGTCTTCACCTTCGGCAGGACTAACTGACCAGTTACTAATGATCTGAGACTTCTGCTCGGCTCATATCGCTGTAGCAGATCAGATAAATATGCTGCTCCTGCACCATTGAGACGTTTATAGAACAGTAACAGCTCCTTAAAGTCTGTTCTGGAACAGACGGGTAGCCACTGTGAGGATTTAAGAACTGGGGGTGGGGTATGTTTTCCTTCTTTTAGTCCTAGTGAGACTCTGGCAGCTGCATTCTGAACCAGCTGTCTTTTTTGGGAGTCCAGTTTGGAGACCATTACAGTGATCAATCCTGCTACAATTAAAGGCGTGGCTGAGTTTTCTCCAGGTCTGCTTCAGTCACAACATCTCTGATACTGTTGATTTTGTGTATTAAGGTGATAAAAAGCTGATTTAGTAACTGCTTTAACATGACTGATAAAACTGAGATCATTAGTACACCAAGGTTACGTACTAGTTCTTTACATTTAAGGGCTCTTGAATCCAAATTATAGAGATTATGAAATAATCTGTTTTATTCAACTGCAGAAAGCTCAGAGGCAGTTACAATGCAGGACCATAGTTGTTTGGGGAGAGAGACAAGTAGATCTGAGCATCATCTGCTGTGGTAAGATATGCCATAGTCTTTTAGGATTTGGCCAAGAGGAAGCATATATAAATATATAAAAAGAATTGAACTGATCGATCAATTTGAAATTGGTCTGTAATTACTCGATAGAGTTGCTCCTAGATTGTCCTTTAAGAGAGAGAGATGTGTTAGGAAAAACGCCTGACATGAGTGAGGTGTTTACTATCTGAAGTATGTGCTATTGAATGAAACATGTTGTTCAAAAAGTTGTTTGGTAACATGTCAAGACTACAAGTGGAGGATTTAAGATGACTCACTGTTTTGATTAAAATTTCATTATTGATAGATGCATTGGGACATTTTAACCTTTATGTGGTGATGGAGAGGACATGGGCTCTTTGGTGCATATAGATGTATTAATGCCTTGATTGATATTATAGATTTTAGTGTTAAGAAGTATGCAAACATATTTATTACATTCTCAGAAGATACTAATTCTGGGTCCATATATGTAGGTGACTTAGTTTGTCAACAATGGCAAAGAGTATTTGCTGTTGTTGATATTATTGTTGATAATGCTAGAGAAAATGAAGATGAGGGTGGAGGAAAACTGGGCTGATTTGCTTAACCTGAGGGCTGGCTGACAGAAAGCGAGGTTAGAAAGCAAAAAAAAGCTTAAAGTTGTCAATAAAGTTCAGTCGTTTGTCCTGCAGCTTTTATGTAGCCAGTTGTTTAATCCAAACAGCCTTGAGGACATTTCGCTTCTCCCTGCAGGCAGAGGACCACTGATAAATGCCTGCATGTTGAGCTTCCTGAGTGTGTTAAAGAGACCATTAAAGTCACGTTTTAATGCCTCAGACTCCTGCTTCCTCGTGTCATTATTGCACACATGATCAATGACGCCCTTCACTGTTGTGTATTCGGACAGTAATGTAGGAAGCTTTTCATTCAGCTCAGAGACTGTGATGTTTGGCTCACATCGAACTATGAATTTGTGTTTTTTTACACCATTAACAGATTCAACTCCAAAGACAAGGGTGTCTGCTTTGGCCCAGACCAGGGCCCAGTGGCTCTACCAGGGTGCTCTGACCAGCTGACACTTCTGGTTCTTTGTGTGTTATGATCACTGCCCTTAGGACACTCACTGAGGCCTTGCAATGGGTCAAATGTGTTCTGCACATGGAGTAACTGGGACAGATATTCTGCTCTGGCTTTGTGAGGTGGTTTCTGAGCAACAACTTTAGCATTAGCATTAGCAAAGCATTAGGCCCAGCTCTGTGTGTCTCCGCTGCCCGCTGCTCTGTTAAGCCCTCTGCATGTTGACACTCCCACACGCTACTCCTCCTGCATCACAGGAATGTCAGTCCTTAAGTTCTGATAACAAGCTCCAAAAACTCACCTCTAAAACTGTCATTTTTTGTAGATGTCTGTAACAATTCTGATAGCACAGACGCATTTTGTAAGTTTCTACTTTGATAACCCGGCAGAAACCTTTCTAATTCCTGTGTTGACAGCACTACTGTAAAAAGTACAAAAAACAAACAAACAAACAAAACCATCCATTGGGTTTGCAGTGATCTTGAACTTTCTATTTGTATAATGAGCTCAAACATAGTAGCTTGAAAAAAAAAACAAACTTCTGAAAATAGAGAGAAGAAATGAAAGGTAGCAGAGCTAAGCAGAGAAGCATCTGAATGGCAAGTAAGCAGGAAAAAACATCCTATATATATGAGCTTGACCATGAATGAACAGCTAGCATTTTCAAAAACAGCATCATACCTGAGGTTCTCTTTCTGTTTGGTCTTCAAAGTTTTGTGTTATTCTGTTATGAATGATAGTAAAGAATAAAGTCATGATATTTATTCTGTGATTCTCTTGCATATTTTAGTATATCATTAGCCAACTAGCAATCACTATCTAATTCTATGTTAATCTGTTGCCTCATGACTCATATTTGTTTTTAATTTAAGAAAGTGAAGGGTAAGAGTCCAGCTTATATACATGTTTGTGGAGAAACAAAAGCTTCTCATTTCTCCCCTAGTAAACAAAAAAATTGCATGTAAATTAATATGTTTTGTGGATTGCGTTTAATGGGGCTTACCTGTGTCTGATTCTGATCCCTGTATCATACAAAGAACAACCATACAGTAAGACAATCGTCATGTACACATGCATTTGTGTGCCATTCAAATAAAACTAAATTCTGCAAATCTAAATGTATATGCTAGTCTATTATATAAATATTTTATATCCAATTTGTTAACCCTTAAATGGCCAGGGCTGTCCTGGTGTGCTCAAAGTTTTATTACACACTTCTATAAGAATAACACAGACAGTTTACATGGAAGTCCCTGTAGTTCCTGAACAATAAGCCTTAGTATGTAATAAGACAGATTTTAAGGGGTTAAATAATTTTTCAGTAAAAAACAGAAATATATTATTCCAGGCAAGTTCACTGAGCATTTCTATGAAAAAAAAATACATACATATATCTGTGTGTGTGTGTGTGTGCGCTTGTGTGTGTATGTATATACGTATGATATACACGTATGAAATTAGAATTAGAACCTGACTACTGATGAAGGCCTATCGGATAGATAACACAAACCATACATCAGCACACAAAACTTGACTGCCATATGGCTGATAACAGCTGTGGTAAATCTGCTGTTTTATTTTACTGTGGTCTATATGTTGCAAGATGGAGCTTCACATGACATAAATATAAAATACTGAAAATGCTCCTGACAGTACTCACAGACATGATAGACTTGCAAAGTCAGCCATCCAGAGGCAAAAACTGTCTCAAATGGTAAGATAATCACACGTAGATCTTCTACAGCTCTCACACCGTTTCCTAGAAATGAACAGTGGATACAGCCATAATCATTCTAATTAAACTAGTAGCAGACTCTAAGGTAAGCTAAACTTTATGTGCATTACTATATTTACTGAAAATCATTTTAATATAATGTCTAACAATGAATAACATCATAGAATAATGTTAAGATCATTCTTAACTTGTTAACTTAGCTGCTCACAGTTGTGTTGATTAATCAGTCTGATTAAACAAGACTATACAACACTCACATCAGTAATTAAAGCATTCTGTGTAAAGATTAAATGTTAATGTCATTCTTTGTGTTCTTTTATTTAAGTTTGCTTAAAGATGTCATGTAAAAGACAGCGAGTCCTCTTCAGCATCTAACATTGCTCTGATTAACTCCAGTGTTAGTTTTAGCATTAGCTCATTTGAAGGGGCTGCTTCTGCTGCTAAATCCTCCTCTTTATTAGACATGAAAACCTTGAGATTTCATAAACAGTTGTTTATTTATTTAAGTGTAAATTTCATGGTTGATATAAGTTTTGTTAAAACTTTTAGCTTGATGTACATTTTTTTTCCATATAGCTTTTGACATTTAGTTTGTCCTTTAAATACTTTTTTCTTAAAAGTATTTTAAGAAGACTGGTGGAGCTTAGGCCTGGCAAATTGGTTTACGTGTTGAAATCTTGATTAAATCTTTTTGAACCAGCAATGACTGTGTCTGTCATTTGTTTAGACATTTTTACTAAACACAAATTAAATAAAGTTGAATAAACACAATAATGAAATTCTGACAATACCTAATTATGTACAACTAACATGATTAAATATTTTATTGAATGAACGCCAACGTATAGAGCTCCATTAACGGTAACTATTTATGTGGAACCAATGTTTGCAATTAAATTACATGAATCTAACAGATTTTTCATAAATCTGAAATTTCAGAAATAAGATAAGATTGAAATAACAGGACTAAATGGTGTTGGAGTAGCTTTTTGCGTATATTGTATTTAATATAACGTACAGTATATTGCACTTGTATATTTTTAACACATATATTGCACTTCATTGAAATACTTTTGATTAAATATTTTTCTCTTGAACCAATGCAAATTTACAGGGTTCTGTTAACCAACGCCCACATTTAAAATATGTAAATCCAACAGATTTTTCTCAGCGTATGGAGATGGAGATTACCTGCTTTCAGGCATAATTCTGCAGCAAGGGCCATAGAATTTACAATATTCAGCACTACAGCTCCAAACATGTAAATCAGAATGTGAAGAAAATCTGCAATGCAGAATTAATTAATTTATGAGTTTTACTTGCATAAATAACTTTTAAAATATGCATAGTTAACTATTACAAGAAACACATCATAAATAAAAATCATATTAGACTAACCAGGTAAATCTTTTGGATGTTTGAAAAAGGATGTTGCTGCCAAGACATGGATTAATGCAGTCAAAGCCATGTATCCACCACAATCTGTAATCATCAAACAATGTCACTTATATCAAAACAATTTTGTGGGAACAGTTTTCATGGATGCCAAGTCTATAAGATGCAATGAGCAAAACTGTAATATGTTGCAATGCATTCATGAAGTGTTACAAATATTTATAAAAATATTACACTTCATAGCCACCTATTATGCATTATGAATTGTCAAAATAATGCCGTATAAGTAGTGTTCATGATTTTTTTTTTTTTATATTGTCAGTCCCAGTTTGCATGGCGCATTATTACTAACAAGCCTGCTTTGTCATAAATGCACACTGACCCATGCTACGATTTTGTTTTAACAGCTCATAAATTATATTTAGCTGGAATTGAATAATATCTTAGTCATTTTAATGCATTATAACATTAAATAAAAAATGTAAGAAGTAAAATTACAATTGAAATGCTTGTTATTATGACTATAGATTATTACTAATAGATATGTGATATTATAACCCCATTGTAAGAGCTTTTAAAATGTACCTATGAGCTCTAAGTTAGACATTTTAGACTAAAAGAAGTATTAAGCATTTCTAAAGTTCTAAAAACTAGTTTTGCATTCCATTACAGAAACCCATCTACCCATCATGCCTTTCCCTCGTATCCCCAACTGAGATTACACAGAGTATGACAATGCTGTTGGGCAAAGGCGGTGGAGAATGATTACCATGACAACGCTAATTTCTGCTAGCACCTCTATGATGGCTCTATACTACGCTGTACTACAATACTATGTACTTAGGATGCTTGAGTCTTGCTCAAGGCTTCTCAACAACATCTTGATTAAGAAAACGAAAGAGACAGGGTGGAGTCAGCGATTAGCAAGCCGGCGACGCCGAGCACAGGAGAGTGGGGAGGAGGGGGGTTAAGGCCTAAGATGTGAAAAAAAGTTTGCGATCACTTGCCACATTCACAATTTTTGTTATTTTATATGCAATATTGTGGTGTCAGTGTAGAAATAGAAGACACTGTAAACACAGCCCTTCAAAGGAGTACTCTTTAATCAACACAGCAGCAGGGGAGACCTGCCACTCAGCACTACTGAACAAAAGTAAGGCAGGGTAGGTCACCTCAAACCATACATCTCACATACACGGCGACACTAAGCCCACCAACCAGCCCCACACACCAGCAAAAGCAACACAACTAACACATATACACATCCCCAAGCCCACAACAACTATCTGTAAATTAAAGTCTCTTACTGCTGCCACAGCAGTACTCGTGGTGCTCTGTATTTTTGTATTTTTACAAGTTTTATTTAATATTTCAGGAATTCTGTTGGCAAAAAGGTCATCAATCAAACTTCTCTGCTTATACTAACCACTTCCTATGTGTCACGCGTCCTGGTTCTCAGCCGGACACTCATATCATCAAAGACTCCATTTCCCAGAAACCCTCAGTCAGTCATGGGACTTCTTCAACCAATCACAAACCACCCAGCAGATCATGAATAAATCCTCCAGGCTCATCTTTATCTGTGTGTGTCTGATTCGCAAACCCAGCGTTACACTCCCGTTTCTCTCCCTACTCTTATGTATTGGGCTTGGCTATTCTGACTATTGACCTGGTCTGATGTTAACCCCGCTCATCTCCATTTGAATAAATCTTCCAGGCTCATCTTTATCCACGTGTGTCTGATTCGCAAAGCCAGTGTTACACTATGTAGGAACGTAGTTTCCTGCAACAACCAGACTGGCAGACAGCTAGAAGTCTAACAGACTCCTCAAATAATATGGAGTTAGGCTTTAAATTAAAGCATGTACTGAGTGATTCAATGAAAAAGCCACAACATACAAAGTAATGCATGTCTTACAAGCTTAAAGTGTCAGGGTTTAAACCAGAGTTCAAATTGAGGATTGAGGTGGGGGAAACTTGGACCCCTTGTAAAAGCAAAGGGATTGATCGTCGGGGTACTGGGGTACTTCCTTGAATAAATTTTCTGAAAAATATTAATGACCTCACATGACGTTGACATTGTCTTTTCCATGTTTTCATCGTGTTCAATGGTAGATTCCTCCTTGCAAAAAATTGAAAAATCCTAATAAATTAGCTAAGTAGCCATACTTTGTTGGTTAACAAACTAGCTAACTAGTTAATTGTACAACTTTAGCTAGTCATGAATTATCCTACTGTTAAAATGTGTCTTATTAATATTCATCAGTATATTTACACAAAAGTATATTTGGTATACTGGTATGTCTGTTTGTACTGTGCAACATTCTAAGTGTGTGCCAAATACGTTACAGCTCTGTTAAATAGCCAGACTCTCCACCAAGGGTCCCCCCAAGACCTCTGACACAATTTGAATTCTGGTTTAAACTAATGGTGCCATAGGTAGCATTAAACAAAGCGTGCAAAGACCAGTGTACACCACCATTATTGATAGCATTACATTGCATTACATAATCATTTATGCAGTGGAGATAATTTAATTTCACATAAAATTTCACAGAGTGGTGGCCAATCAGAATTAATCAGAACTGAAGTGCTATTGGAGAAAGTCAAGTACACTACATTGCCAAAGGTATTGGCTCGTCTGCCTTCACATGCATAGGAACTTGAGATCCCATTCTTAATCTATAGGGTTTAATATGATGTCGGCTCACCCTTTGCAGCTATAACAGCTTCAGCTCTTCTGGGAAGGCTTTCCACAAGGGTTAGGAGTGTTTATGGGAATTTTTGACCATTCTTCCAGAAGCGCATTTGTAAGATCAGACACTGATGTTGGACGAGAAGACCTGGTTCGCAGTCTCCGCTCTAACTCATCCCAAAGGTGTTCTATCGGGTTGAGGTCAGGACTCTGTGCAGGCCAGTCAAGTTCTTCCACACCAAACTCGCTCATCCATGTCTTTATGGACCTTGCTTTGTGCACTGGTGCGCAGTCATGTTGGAACAGGAAGGGGCCGTCCCCAAAATGTTCCCACAAACCTTACGCTCGGCACAATGCGGTCAGACAAGTACCGTTCTCTTGGCGACCGCCAAAACCAGACTCGTCCATCGGATTGCCAGACGGAGAAGCATGATTCGTCACTCCAGAGAACACGTCTCCACTGCTCTAGAGTCCAGTGGCGGCGCTTTACACCACTGCATTCGATGCTTTGCATTGCGCTTGGTGATGTAAGGCTTGGATGCAGCTGCTCAGCCATGGAAACCCATTCCATGAAGCTCTCTACGCTGTTCTTGAGCTGATCTGAGGGCCACATGAAGTTTGGAGGTCTGTAGTGATTGACTCTGCAGAAAGTTGGTGACCTCAGCGCACTATGCGCCTCAGCATCCGCTGACCCCGCTCTGTCATTTTACGTGGCCGACCACTTCGTGGCTGAGTTGCTGTCGTTCCCAATCGCTTCCACTTTGTTATACCACCACTGACAGTGGACTGTGGAATATTTAGTAGTGAGGAAATTTCACGACTGGACTTGTTGCACAGGTGTCATCCGATCACGGTACCACGCTGGAGTTCACTGAGCTCCTGAGAGCGACCCATTCTTTCACTAATGTCTGTAGAAGCAGTCTGCAGGCCTAGGGGCTCGGTTTTATACACCTGTAGCCATGGAAGTGATTGGAACACCTGAATTTAATGATTTGGATGGGTGAGTGAAAACTTTTGGAAATATAGTGTAGTTCAGTTGTTCAGCAGAGCTGGATCTTTTACTGAGTCTTTTACATATTCACATATTCATGTACAGCTTCACACTGTGATATGTATTAACTCTATAGGCACTTTAAAGGTATGTTACAATTTACCCCATTAAGTCATAATGTTCTATAGGCTTTGACATAAATTTCCATAATAAGCAATATAACATAAAAGTATCTTGTGGAAAGACATGTGTGCTCATGTCAGTTACCTTCATGACAGCTAAAAATGCTTTTACCAAGATATGAACAGAAACTGTTATTGGCTTATATTTACATTTACCAACTAATGTTTGATTGCCCAGTCAGTGCAACATGCTTGTTTCCTCAGTCAGCTGCAAACCTTTTGAAGGCTAATAATCCTGTGTATTGTGGTCTGTTATCAGTCATTATTTCATCAAGTCTACCAAATAGGGACATGTACATGTGCATTCCTCGGCAGGACAGGGGAACATACATTTTATTTACAACTCGCAGATTGTTTATGTACTGTCTACATATACATATAGCATCTCTTTATATATTTATTTTATTAAATTAAATTTTATATTGACTCCTGCACCAAAAGAATTTCCTTGTGCATCTGGTACTTGATGAATAAAGATTCTAGACTGTAAATCTAAAGATTCTATCTATAAAATAATTTATGGACACCGAGCCAATAATGTAATACTGTAACTGATGAAAAAACCTACTGACAGTCGGGATCAGTCCCTGTTGTTGCTTTTTTAGTTCTGAACCACTACATGCAATGTATTGTTAACAATTCATAATGCATAATAAATAGGAATATAATGAGGAATGTATTTTTAAACACAGCCACATTTTATGAATGCATTATGATGTGAACAGAACCAAATGCAGAACTGGTCTTTGAAATACAAGTTAATACTCATAACTGTAACAGTTATAGTAACACTAATTAAAAAATAAATAAATGAATAAATTATTAATTAAAAATGTAAGTAAAATTTAATAAAAGACTTAATACAAAGAAATCCCAAATAATTGCTTAATTGTTCATATTATGAGCAAATGATTTTAGGTCAACAAGTTTAGATCAAATTTGTTATTTTCATATGCAAATGAATCTTTGTTTTGTAATTGGAACAATTATATAAAATTTTAAAAGTTTTAAATAAAAATAATAATAATTTACTTCTCTCCCCACAACAGACGTCTTAGGAGTCAGTTTGATTTGCTTGTGATTTTAAAGATCACTAATAATTTACGATTGCTTTCCGTGCTGTGTATTTACTGTGGAGCAACTGAATGTTTTTTTTACCTTTCTTGTTTTTCATGTGCATGCTGATATAATGAATGCACACCGTACCAAATGCAATGGTCAGAGTTGCAGCAAGGACAGTGCAGCACAAATCTGAAAAGGGAAATACATTTTGTGCATGAGCTAAACTGTCCATAAAACACAAATACAGTCATTACTTCCATAATGTTGGCTAGAAATGTAGGGAAACAACATTATTTAAATATAATATTAAAACCTGACTGAGAGATTACATTTAAAAAATGAAATAAAATGTAAATAACATGTACACACTCCAATAAATTCACTTGTGGGGATTTGTTAGCACAACATTAGTTGATTTAAAGTTAAATATTATTTTTAGTGTTGCATTTATGTCCAGTTATTTGTCCATATTTCAGTTCACTGAGTCATTCTGTAAACTAAACTTAATATTTCAGATGCAATTGTGAATCCGGGGAAACTTTAATAATCCATAACTAAAATCTATTTGGAAGACATGATAAAATTTGAACAAAATTTGATTGCATGCAGGAAAAGTGATGAGAGTTTCATACTTACATCCGATCCCTCTCTGTTGAGAGCAACATCCTTGTCTAGAACATGTACAACGTAACATACAAAGCACTGATAACCACGCAATGACCTGTATTAGTACTTCAAATGGAAGTATCCATGCTGAAAATAAGAGCATTCAAAAGGTATTAAATGCAGAACAGTCATACACAATAAGCACATGTATTAACCCCTTAAGACTCCAGGCTTGTTACATACTAAGGGGTGTCATTCATTAACTACATGGACTTCAGTGAAAACTAATAGCTTTTAGATAATAGATAATAGATAAAAGGAACTGGGGAGCACTTGGGACAAGCAGTGTGTACTGGGCGGATACTGTGGTGCACAAACATTAGTGGCACATTGTATGCTCAGTGGGCCAATCACAATCTCAAGTGTTTCAGATGCTTACCTGTAGTAATATTCATTGTGGTAATGCTGATGAGAACATAAAGACTGACTTCAGTCACACTGATGAGAGTCAAAATAACAGACGATAGAACAATATGGGAGCCTAAGAAATTAAAATAATCAGCGATAATTAGTTGATTTATGAGAAAGATTACAAAAGTCAATTTAAATACATTTATTGAAGGTTTAAAGACCAGCAGAAAGTGTAAGAAAATGAATGAATGACACTACAGTAGTTTTTATTTTAAGTTTGCTCTTACAATGAACTTACTGTGCTTATGAAGTGCTATCATCATACTTACGTTTAAAGGGTTTTCCTTGAAAGTAGTGTCTTTGCAGAGAGAGGACCATCATATTTCCTAAGATCATAGGGGCCAATACTGAAGGTATCTGAATGCTGTCTAAAATACCCCAAAACATATGTATGAATGTTATGCATTTTCCCAAATTGGCAAATTGAACTATAAGTATGGGCAGGAGAGAGTATGATGTTTTGTGGGTCATTTTTAGCATTTTAAACTTTAAGGTTCTATAACTGATTAACTATATTTGTAACACTATTTTAAGCTCTGCCTCTTTACAATCAATTCACTATTAGCAAGCAATTTAGAATGACCCAGTAAATAGAAACATATCATTAGTAAGCAAGAAATGTGAATTATATAATGTGTTAATAAGGTCTTCTAAAAATATATTAAGTGTTTGTAGAGTGACATATTTATTCATTGTAATTATTCCTTGATTAACATGTCACATAAAGACAAAGTATTACAAAAATTTTGTTTACATATTTAAGATTTGAAACTGGCGTATAGTATTCATTCATGAATAGTATTTATAACATTTAAAAATACAGTGAAATTCTTGTACTACAGCAGCTCCTATTTATAAAAGTATATGTTAAATATGAATATTACACAGGAGGCAAGTTGGGGAGGGAAGTATACTAGAAGAATATTGTACATACTAGACAAACAGACCAGACAACAAGTAACAGTAAGTAAGTAAGGGGCCCCCAGCAGTGCAGGAGGTAGTAAGTAAGGAATGAGGTAGATGGCAGTAATTACACTGTACTGTGAATTTAGAGTGCAAGATGTTGCTGCGTTCTTGTTGTATGGGGCAGCCTAACCTCTTCCCAGTTATCACTTTGGGTGTGAGATTTCTGGTGGTAATGTGTTGTGGTGATCCTTAACTTATGGCCACTGAACATCAGTAAAAAAAAATAATTTAATTAATTTAATTCCAGACCACTTTTTCTTTCATTTGGACTGTTGATTTTTCATTTCAAGTAGGCTTGTTTTTCTCAGATGTTGAGCTTTTTAGGAAACTAAAAAGCTTAAATATTCATGTCTGATTGGATTTTGTAACATTTAACAAGAGTTGAGTGATATACTTTGAAAAAGTAGTGATGGTTGAATTGCTAGGTCATTTTATTTATGTAAATATTCTGTTAATATGTTTCATGAAAATGACTTATCATTAAAATAAAGTACTAAAACTTTTTTCCCTGGCTGCTTTTCCACTATTCACCCAAATGGTCCTCAGGGCCGTACTGGGCTGTTCCACTCTGGTCTGGACTTGTGAGACCAGTTACGGTGTCTGTTTCTATCTGTTGTACCACTAAATCAAAACCAGGAAATACCTAAGAAAACTACACAAACAAATGGCTAACTGCTAACAGGCTAATAGCAACATACACGCCATCCACCACAAAACATGTTTGATTCCATCTGTCACTCCATTTCCAGTCTCTCTCTCTCGGCTGCTCTCATCTTCTTTATCCTCTAAACAGGTGTTATTTGAACATCTGTTACTGAAACAGCCTGTACTGCGGTGGGTTTTACCTGTAGCCGGATAACTACATTAGCATTACCGTCGCCCGGCAGGGTTCAACTCAAAGCACCACAGAACAACTCTAATTTTATCTTTCTGTCAACACCGGTCATTCAAATTTGTGCTCTCAGATACGAGTCTTTATCCTCTAAATGGCTGTGTTTAATCATCGGTTCACTAGAACCCAGCCCGTACTGCAGTTGGAGGCACCGTGCACTCACATTAGCATAACCAAGCAGGCTACAGCTTAAAACACTAACAGAACAGGTCTGATTTCGGCTTTCAGTCAGTCCCACTGACAATACAGATCAGTCGACTTTGCTGTCACTGTTTTTATCGTGTATACTCATCATAGCAGAGCAGTTAGTTGAACCAAACATACACCGTGGTATTTGGATCGCTTTAGCTGAGATAAGTTAGCTATGAGTGAAGAATAGACAGTAGTGCTCCTTTATGAATTAGAAAAACAACTATTAGAAGAGTTGCCCCTTGGTATAGTGAACAACTTTGCACATTTAACACACTTCTTAACAGTGTGAACAAAGAAAAAACAGGCTACAAATTCACTCTTGGAGGTCTGCAGAGTTATACTGAAATGGAGCTTACAGTAGAGGGAGGGTGTATTTCTTGTGATTTTTTCTTTTTTTATCTAGTATTGTGACTTGCAAGTAGTTCTGGAATTCAGACTGTGTGGTTACTCAACTACATTCTGGATTAGATATTTCCATATTCTGAACTATGTATCTACCATTTACTGCATTAGTTATTGACTGTTATTGTAGTCCCGTTGTTTTTACACTGTAATAAAGGCAGCACAAAATATTGTTAGGGATTTTTTACTCCATAATGAAAGCAGTGGAGTGCTAGCTTACAAATCTTAGAACTGTATAACTAAAATATACTGTCAATTATTCAGTTGTACTTACATTCAAAATTTTCTGTACTTTGATTGCTTAAAATAAAACCCAGCAGAGCAGCATTGCATAGCTGTAGGACCACGGCCGAGTGCATCTGGAAAGCACAACCAGCTGTTGAATAACAAGGTGAAAATTCTTGTTTAGTTTCATAGAATTATGATTACAGTCAAGTTAAACTGTCAAGCTAAAAAACTACTTATAACTTTGTGGTAACATGCTATGGATGAGTGAAAGAGATAAAATATGCAATTAAAAAAAAAATTCTCTTACCTAAAACAGCAGCAATGATGAAACATATGCCACCTAGTACCACCATTACAGTCAAAATATGGTTATTTGCTGTTTGCACTTGGCTAATTTGTCCAGAAAAAACTAAAGAGACAATAAGATAGTAAGAATAATAAGAAAATAAGACAATAAGAAAGGAGATAGTAAGATAAAAAAGTATTTTTATGAAAAAAGTGAACAGTTTGCAGTACACACTACACATTTTTATATTCCTCTGAACATAATTTGAGCACAACAATAATAATAATAATAATAATAATAATAATAAAAATGAAAAGGAAAGGAAAGTGAAGACTTTCAAGCATAAATCAGTAAGAACCAAAAAGGTGCTCTAGTATGTTTGTGTATGTCTACAATGAACATATCACTACTTTCGGGTCATATAGAAAATGTCCTCTGTATATGTACGTAACGCTGCAATGAGGAGTGAAGTAGTTATGGAAAGTGCATCTGTCTAAGATTGCTAATGGAAAGATACATGCCAAATCTGGTGAAGATCAGAATGACAGTTCATGAATTTGTTTTGGAAAAGTCAGATGTGTTATGTCATCCACTGTTGTCAAAAGTCTGTCAAAAGTCTGTCATTTACTTTGCATGAAATACTTGACATGAATATCAAGTTTTCAAATGACTGGACAAAATGTGCATGAGTTTGAACAGTTTTGATCCAGTTATGGATAATGGTCATTAAAGTTATGCTAATTCAGAGCATCAGTCAGCATACTGAAGATTAAGAGCTGTATTTAAGGCTTGGCCACACTCGTTTTTGGGTGTGGTTGCCTTTCTGGACTAAAATGTCAAAATATTTTATATAATTATTAAATTTCACCCATTTGCACTGTTTGCATTATTTGTTTTACTGGCTTCTCTTTATCTATTGTTATGATCTGTTACGAGGATCTGATAACATTGTAGGTTACATTTATATAGAAATTCACATATTGCTAAAGTGCTCACAAATTTTCAAGCAGCTCTGAAGGTAATACAGCAAGCTTTCTTTAAAGTTGTTAGGATTGAGTTTTACTAACGATCCACTACTAAATACTAATGTATGTACATTGCAAGATAACTATCACATTTTTAGCCTAGATGCCTAGCTAAGGAGCTAGCAAACTAAATGGGTACATTACTTATCTGATTCTATACTAACCTGTGGACTCAATTTGGAAATCAAGTATAAGTGTAAAATCCTTCTAAGGGAAATAGTTCTAAGGGAACTATTATAAGGTAATTTGCACAAAATTTATAATTACAGAATACCAAGGAGAGAAAGAAAACTGAAGCAAAAGGAGCTAAAAAATGCAGCAAGAGGCATCATAGCTTTTTGTGCTCTGATGGGGCTCAATATGCAGCAGGTGCCCTTTTTATTTTTTTGCCCCTGCCCTTCAAACAACCACTGTTCCACTGAGTCCACCACTGGCCTGGCCATTCTTACTAAGTGCACAGAGGTACCTATTTCTTCACAGTTGAACAAGAATGATAGGTTCTTGATCTTTCACCCACTGGAACATGGAACTCTCCTTGTAGCTTAAACTGATATGATATATATCTACTACAAACTAGTTATATACTGTATGTCTATCAATATTTGATATATGAATTCTCTATCTCAGTTGTTTGTTAAGCGTCTAACCGTTCAGTATGTTGTTAAGTTGGAAAAGGATCTCATGGTGGTCGAAATGGACTGTCTTCAGATCAATGACCCTATGCCCTTGTTGTCAGTTTACTTTTTCTACATACATTTACTTACAAAAGAGAATCAGGAGGACTTGGTCCAAATGTTCCATACCCTAGTGCTCCCAGCCATTATTATGAATGACAAATGTTCTCAACCCTAAGGATCTACATCAGGGATGAGTTGCCCTGAAAGTGCACCATGCATTAGTCCTGTAATACATGCTCTGCCAGGAGTTGTCTTGGGATGAAGTGTACATCACCAAGGCTCATTACTGCAGCTCTAAAATCTCTACACTGGCTTCCAGTTAATCACAGAATAGAGTTTAAAGAGCTGCTGTAGAGTTTTAACAGGACCAGGAGATCAGAGCTCATTACTGCAGCTCTAAAATCTCTACACTGGTTTCCAGTTAATCACAGAATAGAGTTTAAAGAGCTGCTGCTACTCTATAAATCACTGAATGGTTTTGGCTCAGAATACATCTCTGATCTGTTTAATAAACAGAGTAGGTCTCTTGGATCCATGGAATCAGGTCAGGTAGCCGAGCCCAGAGTCCAAACTAAATGTAGTGAAGCAGAATTTAGTTGTTATGCTGCTGCAACTGTAACAAACTGTCAGAAAATCTTAGATGAACTCCAAATGTAGAGATTCTCAAACCTGGGTTAAAAACATTTCACTTCTCACGTGTTTATAATTGAGTTCTAAGAACACAGGGAACACACTACGACATGCAGGGCAGTGGGAGTCCGGGAACAACACCCACCCCCCCAATTCTACAACTGTTCTAACCCCCATGGCCACCAACAATTTTTTAAAAATGGGATGTCTCTGGGATGAAAGAGGTGGAAGATGTTACAAATTGACATTACATTACTTTGGTTACATCACACTATTGTTTCGCCGTTCTTTATGGTTTGGTTATGTGCCGGAGTGGTGTGAGAGAACAAGCTGTACCCAAGCAAGCCAGTTGTTAATTTATTGAGGTCTTCAGCTCAATAAGGATGCCGTTCTTAGTGTCCTTCGCAGTTTCTCTTATACTACTATAAACTTTTTGTTTCATCTTACAGCCATAAGAAAATATAAAGTGGTTATAATCTGCTGTCAGTTCTTTTTTTGTTCTTTCTTTGAACCATGTTTACATGTTGTTTACTGTATGCATACATTTGTCATGTGTTACTTAAGTAAGAAAAAAGAAATTACTTAAGATATCAAATTTTACATACAGTACTTCCTGATACACCTACCTCATAGTAGATTTTTATATTTCACTTACGTGAACATGCAGCCAGTATTATAACTGAGTGGTAAACTGGAACAGCCAATGTCTTCACTGCTTTTGTCAAGCGCTCTGTGAATTACATTAATTAATTTATTTTAAAAACATGGGGTATGTCAACAATAAGTTATAAGTAGTAAATATAGGCAAAATCTACAGGCAAAGAACTGAGTAAATATTATAAATTCCTATTGGTTCTCACTGCCGTACATATTAGAAGTTCAAGATGCCTATCTATAAGTCCATACAATGCCAACATATAAGCATTTTTTGCTTAACACACTGCGAAATTGAGTGCACAGCACAAACGATTTGCATTTTATCCTCTGTTCACTGTGACGTTGGAGCGGTGCCCTGTTGTGAATTATCTCATTGGTTGTATTTGTAAGTTTGGTGGTAAAAAGGTTGAATTTAATCGAACTTTGTGTGCAGCAGCAAGGCATCTCTGCCTTGGGCGTGCTTATACTTGTAGTTGGGTTCTCTTGGTCCAGACCAAAGCAGAAAATGAAACTTTGTTGCATTTTAGTTCTGGTTTCCTTAGCATTTACACTGATATTTAACATCAAACCAAAAGATGTAAACAAAAGTCACAGATTTTACGCCGTACAGACGATTTTGTAACATTCAGTAACTGTAATATCGTCCACTGAACTTTCTGAATCGTGCTGTTTTCTGTTCTATCTAGGCTCATTGGTTTTATTTATGTCTTGTTTTATCTGCCTTGTGATATTAGAGTAATAAGCCATGAGACTCCCAGCATTACTGTGGTTACAACGCAAAGCAGAGTGAAATCCCTGTAACAGCATCATGTGGCTAAGTGCTTTTACAGAACGGAGAAACATGTTTTAGCTTTGGGGGTCTCAGTCCACTTATTTGGTGCTTATTCAGATGGCAGTGTTCTCATTTGCTCTAACAAACAGCACTAACAGAGCAATCACACCAGGGTTCGTCTAATCAAACCAAATCTGTCAATTCTAATTGCGCCCTAGTTGAACACTACTGCCCTCTACTGCTGAAAATATATATTATCACTCATCATCTGCAGGGACACTAGAATACTCTTTTGGAAAGACCTACTTGGCAATCTGTTGAGATAAGGGAAGGTCTTCAGCAGCATGAGGGGCCGTATGATGCTGACAGTTGAACAGGTCACAATCTCAGTCAGATACCCTGTAAAAAAAAATAAACTTAACTTATGTCATGCATTGCAGCTTCACAGATTGCATGAGTGGTGGCATGTCTGTTAGAAATGAAAAAGATGGTTGTGAATTTACCTTCTGTTGACCACAAGATGAAAGCTGCACACATACAAATGTTTGGGAAAAGGACCAGAGACGCATGCATCTTCATCGCTTTTCCACTAGTTGCTAAAAAAAAATACAAGCTAGTTTGCAAGTGTGAATACAAGATGAATTTGTTTTAGGAGACAGATAATGACTGGTGAAATACCTTTCTTTCTCAGGAGGATGAAAATGGGAATGCAAAGTCCCACTGCAAGAAGCAGTGCAACGACACACAACACCAATATCAATATATGGAACACTGAGAAACCTGTAGAAGGGAGGCAATATATTCACACAGAAATGAAATGTATGTGCTGAAGATGTTAATGTTCTTCATTCTCCAACCACACTTATGAAGCACTAATTACACATTCAGTGGTATGACTAGACAATAAAGTGTGAATGAAATGACAAAAAGGGGGTAGATAGTGTTACCTAGACTCTGCAGAACTACGAAGGTATGTGCTGACAGATGACCAACGTGGACCTCACACATGAATTCTCCTTTATCCTCCATCTTTATATCCTTCAACTTTAGTGAGAAATTGCCTTTGGAGATTTCACTGTGAAAGAATTCGACTCTCCCCTGATAACTTTCATGTGAATAATCTGACAGGACCTCATTGTCTTGATAAAGCAGGATGGGGATTTCCGGGTCTGTCCTTTTCCAAGACACTTCCTCTATCTCGGTTGCTGGTACGTGGAAATCTACAGAACAGTTCAGTATCACCTCCTCACCCACAGAAGCAGAGATAGGATGGTTGGCCCCTTTAACCACAAGATACTCTGAAAGAATTTAGAGGACATAGATGGACAAAGTTTGACACAATAATACAAGTGAATTCAACACTGTATTTTCTTCAGCAGCGAGGGGCACTGCTTTTCTTTTTGTAAATACTGATGTGTGACGTGTTCAATAGCCCAAAATGTTATTCTGTATTTGAGAAAATCAATATGGGGAAAAATCATTGTGTTAGAATGTAACCCTGATCTGGATAGGTCACATAGAGGTCATATAGAATAAGGTTACCCACCGATGTCTTTCAGCTCCACTTCAGTTTCACCGGAGTCTTGGCCTGTATTGACTTTACATCTGTAAATTCCAGCATCCTTTTTTACCAAATGATTTATTAAGATGGAGAAGTTCCCTTTGGATATCTCATCTGGGAAGAAGTGTACTCTACCCTGAAAAGACTCACTCTGCAGTTCTGGTCTGGTTTCTCCTTGCTGGAAGGTAATTACCAAAGAATCTGTCCTTCTCCATTCCACCTGCAGATCCTCCAGAGGCAAGGAGTTCTGAGAAAAGCATGGCAGTAGAACTGTATCTCCTAGCTGGGCTACAAGAGGATCAGGGGGCCCTTGGACATGTAGACCTGGATTAAAACAAAACAATAATCACATCCATGTATATACATAAATACAAGACCAAGCAAGTTTATATTTGCAAAATTTACTCATACCTTCAGTGACATAATAGGTGAATGTATGTTTTACAGGGCTGCTGCTATGTGTATATGCTGAACTGGTAGAGATACATCAATTTCCTACACTTCTACACTCACTGTCCATTTTATCAGCTCCACTGACCATATCAGAGAACTCTGTAGTTCTACAATTACAGACTGTAGTCCAGCTGTTTCTCTGCATACTTTGTAACCCTGTTCCTCAGTGGTCAGGACCCCCACAGAGCAGGTATTATTAGGGTAGTGGATCATTCTCAGCACTGCAGTGACACTGATGTGGTGGTGATGTGTTAGTGTGTGTTGCGCTGGTGTGAGTGGATCAGACACAGCAGTGCTGCAGGAGTTTTAAACACCGCAGTGTCACTGCTGGACTGAGAATAGTCCACCAACCAAATACATCCAGCCAACAGTGTCCCATGGGCAGTGTCGTGTGACCACTGATGAAGGACTAGAGGATGACCAACACAAACTGTGCAGCAGCAGATGAGCTATCGTCTCTGACTTTACATCTACAAGGTGGACTGACAAGGTAGGAGTGTCTAATAGAGTGGACAGTGAGTGGACACAGTGTTTAAAAACTCCAGCAGCACTGCTGTGTCTGATCCACTCGTACCAGCACAACACACACTAACACACCACCACCACGTCAGTATCAATGCAGTTAGTGAGAATGATCCACCCCTAGGCTGGGGCTGTTTTTCAGGGTTTGGGCCCCTCAGTTCCAGTGAAGGGTGATGTTGATGCTGCAGCACAAAGACATTTTACACAGTTATCTGCTTCCAGCTTTGTGTCAGCAGTTTGCTGTTCCTGTTCCAGCATGACTGAGCCTCAGTGCACAAAGCAGCTCCATAAAGACGTGGAGTGACCAGTTTAGTGTGGAGGAACGCCAGTGGCCCTCACAGAGCCCTGACCTCAACCCCACTGAACACCTTTGGGATGAACTAGAACGGAGATTGTGAGCCAGACCCTCTCGTCCAACATCAGTGTCTGACCTCACAGATGCTCTTTAACTGAATGGGCACAAATTCCCACAGACACTCTCCAAAATCTTGTAGAAAGCTTCCCAGAAGAGTAGAAGCTATTATAGCTGCAAAAGGGACCAGCTCCATATTGATGTACATGGTTTGGAATGGGACGTCCAACAAGCTCATATAGGTGTGATGATCACATGTCCACATACATGCTACCAAAAATAGACAACATCTGTATAAGGAGTTTGCAAGATTGAAAATGAAACCCTAGTCCTGAGAGCCAGCAGTCGGCAGAGAGCATCCGCATTGGCGTTCTGAGCCTCTGCACCTGAAATCAAAAATCTTGTGAGTAACCCTGGAATTAGGGTCTTTTGCCTTGACCATCCACCAGAGTGGCATATGATCTGTTATGAAGGGTAAAAGGCTTACAGGTAAAGTGGAATCTCAGTTCTTTGATGGCCCGTTTAGTGGTCTCCTGTTCCAGGTCCCTATGATTTAGAGTGGATGATAACATTGTCTATATAGGCTGCATGCCTACCAGTCAATGGGCCTCAGGACCATGTCCATCAGCTGTGAGAAGGTGGTGGGAGCTCCATGGAAGCGAAACAGGAGAACCTGTTAGTGCCAGTTACCTGTGAATGTGGCAAAGGTGGTCTTCAGCCTGGCCTCTGGCATGAGCAACACCTGCCACTATCCTTTTTCATCAGCACTGTGTTGAGTATTTTCCCAATACCACCTCTATGACTGGGGGTTACTAGAGAATACATCTGTGTTATGGTCGATACATGTTGCATATTTCTGGCATTGTTGGGCGGACAGCTCCTCACCATAACAAATAAGAGACCTGGCAGGGGGCTCTTTGGCATCTACAAAAGCTGATACAACAGGCATAGATACAACCTATTTATTCAGCAGATTAACATCATAGGTTTATTCTAGCCTTCTTTTTCCCCTGGCTGTTCCAAGCAATAATTATCAGGATCCAGCTTCTCCTTGACTGTAGATGCACCCTGCCATGTCACCAGGACTTTACAGGTAGCTGTGGGAATGAGGACCAGGACTCTGTTTCCAGCCTGTAATTTCTGGTCCTGGACTGGTTGTAAACCTCTTCTGGGCTTTCTGGGCCTTCTCCATATGCTCCTTTACAGTGGTACAGATACAGTCAATACAATGTTTCATTTTTTGATCATCACTATGATCACTAACCAGCCTGAATGGGGACAGTTGTTGCGCCCAGGCTTCCTTTACCACATCCAGAGGTCCGTGTGGATGGCAAGCATAGAGAAGTTAAAAGGGAGAGAAACCTGTGGATGCCTGGGGCACTTCAAAAACCACAAACAAAACATAGAGGAGTAGTAGGTCTGGAAGAGTCAGGAGACAAATAGGATGCCCTGAGTCTATGAACAGGTCTATTTTTCCATTATCACTTTTTATCATCTGTTGTCTGGGAAGGATGTGAAATTTATAGGACCACTGGTGATTCTCTGCCACAGCAGCAGCAGGACTCAAGTCTATTTGAGTGAGGATCTCTTCCTTTAGGTCTTTCTACCTGTGAGCCTGCACTGGTGGTAGAGAGAAATAAGCCAGTTGTGCCTCTCCAGTGAGAAAGAGGGTGAATGTAGAATTAGGAAAGTAGGATGTAGGAAAAACTCATTGTCATGTCATTCACAATTTCCATTCCCAGTAAGCTGCTCTTGTAGATCAGTGGCTAACTTGTCCTTTGTCCTTGTACTTTAAGGTACATCTGCTGTCTATCCAACTCTCCATATTTGTCACAGTGTTTTATCTCGGATTATCGGAAATAATTAGGTATTCCGGCAATTTCTGCTCTCTGGGTGGCCCCAGCTCCATCATTTATTCTTCTAAATTCTTGCATTTCGTATGATGAGCAAATAGATATCATATCTTGTTAGTCTAAACACCACTTTGAAGAGTAAGCTTGTTTTATGTCCTAGTTTTATTTTCGTTTTGCATGTTACCGCTAGGACACATTGTTAAAGAGCATGGAGACACTTTTCATACTTATGTAGATGACAATTATATTTATCTGTAGTACCAAATGATATGAGCTCCTTAAATAAATTGACAACTGTCTATCATGCACATATGAATGGATTAACAGAACTAAAAACTAAATTTAGAAAAAAAAAAAAGAAACAGTCATCATTGGCAAAGAATTACTGAGAAAAAATAATAGATCTAGCCTGAGAAATCTGACTTTAAAAACACAAGATACAATTAGAAACTTGTGTGCAATATTGTATTCAACATCATCATTGAAATCATGTTAAGCAAATTACAAAAACAGCATTATTTCATTTAAGAAATATAGCACAAATCAAGCTTTTTCCTCATTACAGTGTTTCACAGTGCACTGTTTATAGGGTTACCAAAAGCCACAATAGACTGGCTACAACTTATTCAAAATGCTGTAGCTTGAATACTAACACATAAATAAAGAAGAGCATCATTACACTGGCTGCCTGATTCTAGATTTAGTTTTTAAATTCTTGTTAATATTTGTTCTTGTCCTTGTTATTCTTTGTTTTTGTTTTTACTGTCTTTCTGTCTTATTGTTTTACATTGAACTGCATTTTATGCATGAAAAGTGCTATATAAACTAAGTTAATAGAACTGTTATTATTACTGCACAGGTAGACGGAATAGCTTAAATAAATATCACCAGAATAGCTCACTAAATACATTTTTGAAGCAAATGTGGCAGGCAGACAAGAAACTGTAGCTGAAAAGAGGCTGACCTCTACAACAGGACAATGACCCAAAAATGACCCAAAACTCAAGCTGAAGCTTTTGCAATGACCCTCACAGTCCCCCGAGCATTCTGTGCAGAAGAGTGGGTGAAAATGAAAAAGAATAGAAAGACTTCTAGTTGGATACAAAAGTGTTTGCAAAACTATATATTAATAAATATATAAACATATTGTGGCACCAATCAGAAGAAGAGTCAGGTAAGGTGATAGTTTCTGCTCAAAAATGATATTTATTATGTGAACAAGGCAGAAAAGCCAGTGGTAGAAACAACTAAAATAGAGGCAGATCACTCCTAGCCCTGTACTTTCTCTGTGCAACCAGTGGCAGAACGCCACCATATCAATGCAATCATTGGCAAAGGGTGTACACTGAAAGACGATGCATTTATGTAAGTGTTTTATTCATGTAAAATGATGGACATGTTTTAAATCAGGCAAATTCAAAACATTCTTTTTCAGCATATGGTTGTCAGTAGCAATATTAGGAAAACCAGAAATCAGAAATTATGCGGGTTAGTTAAAATACTATTGCTATCATTACTAATAATTATACAAAGTAATCACTCACCTCTTTGTACACTCTTTTAGCCCTCCTAGGTCCCACATGGCATATACAACACACGTCTTCTAGCATTTTGCTGAAATATTTCTGATTTGTAATAATAACTCTAGACTTCTACTGGTCAAAAATAAAATGATTCTAATGTTATATTGCTCTTGGAAACCGAATCCCCAGTCCCCAATAAATGACTACAATAAAACCTTACCTTCACATCCAACAGCAAAAACAAGTCCTAAAAACAATGATAAACACATCTCCCCTTAGAAGAATGAAGTAAGGCTACAGAACATAAAAATGTTATTGGTTCAAAATGAATCTTAAAAACCACTGATGAATTGGCAAACTTTAATCCACACATTTCACTGTCTAAACACACGCTGGAGCGTATTTGGCTCATATGCCAGATGATTGCTATGAGGAAAACATTTTTGTAGGCCAAGAAAACTGGTAGGGCAAGAAAAAAGGGCATGCAAGGTGAACTAAAATGAGTCACAACATTTTTTTGTCAATTTAGATTTATTTCTAATATTTTGTCAAGACTTTTCTTTCTAATATTTTTTCAAGACTTCATTTATGCAGGGACGCAGTACAAACTAGTACTAGTTCTTCAATCTAATTTAACAGGAGTGGGCAAACAGAGTATCACAAAATAATTATTGGCATAGAGTGAGTGATCAATGCAAGCCCTGACCAACTAAATAGTGAATAGTGACCTTCCACTGAACTTTAAAATGAAAGAAAGTCTGTAACGTAATAAATATTTGTATACTTATCATGTAGGCTACATTTCATTTAGCATGTGTATATTTCAAAAGTTTAGGGTTCAACCTACGTTACACTTATTTGAGATTTTCACCACTGAGCACCAGAGCAAAGAGCACAAGCACTTGGCATCAAATCAAGCGCTGTCAGTGATGGGTGTCATGTCTAGTATAACTACATTCCTACATTCCAACTGCACTGGGAGAGAGGGAGGGAGAGGGGCAGCAGCAACGAGAGACTGAAGAGTATAGAGCTGGAAAGCTCCCATGAGGAAAGGACTGAGAAGTCTGCCTAGAAGCCACTGAAAAGTGGCCAGCGCATCTTTAATTCTGTTTGGGTGTTCTTGGTTATTTGGTGTAGAAAATAAAGTTAATCTCTGCTGTCTGATTTGAACTCACTTATGTTGTCTTTATTGTGCAGAAAGTGTGCCTGTAAATTTAGCATGCTTGTTAATGGGAAATGTCTGGCTATTGTTGGCAGAACAGGTATAATGATTGCACTGTTGTCAGACTGGAGCCTGATGTTATTATACTGTGAGACATAAAGAGATTGGAAAATGTAACTACTCTTCTTCCCAAATGTTATGTAAATTGTTACTTCTGACTTGTTACACATACTTGGGAATACTATTCAGTTATTTTCCAAACACAGTTTGTGAGATTTTTATGGGGTTGTATGGATAGACCTATCCACCTAAATCTGTACTAAATAGACTCCCTGCCTGCCACCCTGCCAAAACTCCCTGCACAAGCTACAATGACTAAGTTAAAGCTTTTATGGATCTGCCACTGCTTACTGATATTACATTACCTTACATTAAAAATGACTCATTAGAAAACTGTACATCACTGCTGTGTTAGAACGTAGCCCAATTTCCTGTATAAAATATCGCTCAACATAAACTGTAAAACTGTACCTCTTCAAGGGGGATTAAACAGCTGGGGCTGAGTGATGCGTTAAAAAAACAAGCACACCACTCATGATATCCCTCCACCATAGAGAACGTGAGGCTGACTTGGTGAGATGTTACCCTCTGCCTTGTCTTCCTTTCCCTGTTCCCCGGGCTCCTCCTGCCTGTCCCGAGCCCCTCAAGTCAATACAGCAGCCCGTGCAATTAGACAGCACCTATCTCTTCCCCCAGGAGTGAGGCACGCATGTATGTGTGAGGGTTGCTCTCTCTATTGTAGTCATTCAGGCCATCTCTGCTCAGGTCGCCCCTGACTCCACACACCCCGTCTCGTCTCCAGGCTTTTATTTTACTGTTCTGTTTAAAACATTCGGTTATGAAAAGGTATAAATACGAACTTTTCACCTGGAGAAACTTATTTAAGGTTCACAATCAGACCTTAAAACCACTGTTGGAGCTCTGAGGGAACATTTACACTGTTTGTACCTTGATGAACATAAAATGTACCTGAACAGAACCTTTATTACTAACAGTGCAGGAGAGAGATCAGTGATGCACCCGAATACATCTGCCCTGACATTTAGGGTGTTTTTTAATGGCACCATCTCCTGGGGGTCCCTGCCTGGGAAAAAACCTTCAGGGTGTCTGTTGACTCCAGAGCTGCAGGGAACTTTAGCGACTCTGATCTAGTGACCGCTCTAAAATTACCTATTAATTCTCTTGAGCACTCACTTCCTGTTTTGACCTTTGAAAGTCTCTGGGCACTGGGGTTGTAACCCAACACACCTTTACCCTTAGGTGCAGCACCTCCATCCCATAAATTGTTGGGTCCTGAACAAAGTTACAGTGAAGGTGCCCCCCTTGCCTCAGATGGCTTCAGAATTTGAATCTCTGCAGCAGGCTTCAGTCTTCATGAAACTGGACCTGTGCAGTGTGTTTATCCTCGTCCAGGTCAGACAGGGGGATGAGGGAAAGACAGACTTCATAACATCCTTGGGCTATTTACAACCCCATTTCCAAAAATGTTGGGACACTGTGCAAAATGTAAATAAAATAGAGTGCAGTGATATATGAATCATGTAAACCCTATAATCCTATAGAATACCACTTCCCAGCCTACTCCTCACAAATATCTGAACACTTTAAAACAAGCTGGAAGAGCTGAGACTCAGGCTCGCTACAGACTGCCAAACTAGGAACTGTGTGTTTTTATTTTTACTGAAACCTGGCTTCATAGCCGTCTACAGGACTTGACTATCGTGCTACAGGGACTAAAAGCGCACCATGCTGACCGCATGGCCGCATCACTCAAAACGAAGGGCAGTGGACAGTGTGTGTTTGTGAATGATTCATAGTTGATAGAATCCAAACCCGGGAGACTCGATCTGTTGTCTGGACAGGTGAAGTTTATTTGTTGCGCGCGCAGGTTCCAGACACCCAGCCAGCCCCCCTATACAATGGACTGTCACACTTTTATAGCTGGACTGATGCCAAGATTAGACCCAGCATATACAGGACAAGTAACAGGTGTGACAACATGACCATATAAGGAGAAACACAAGAATAGGCAACCTAAAATACAACTTCAATGCACACACACAAAACACAGCACATTAACTTCCTTCATAGTGCACCAACTCAGCTGTTGTTGAACACTTCTGCTCTGCTGATTTGGAGTTCATGATGCAGGCCTGTTTGTTTACATGATGTTTGTTTACATCCCTTCACAAAGCGACGCTAAGCTAGTGGTAGCAATGCAAGCTAATGCTATTAGCAAGCTGCAGTCTCTTCATCTGAAAGCTGCACTCATCATCACAGGGGACTTCAACCAGACAGACCTCAGAACAGTGCTATCCATGTTCCATCAGCATGTCTCCTCCCTGACACAAGGGGAAAACACACTGGATTACGTCTACACGAATGTCAAGGAGGCTTACAGCACCACCCCTTGCCTACATTCAGTAAGAGTGATCACATCTCTCTGTTGATGAAGCCCATACACCAACAGTCTGCTCACAGTGGACTTTCACGTTCACGTAAATGAACGTACAACATCTGTCAGTGGATTCATCAAGACGTTTTTAGGTGATGTGACTTAAACAAAGCAGATTCGCACACTTTCAAACCAAGAATCATGGAAGTCCGCGGTCCGCTGAAGGGCATGTGATGCAGCCCTTAAATCTGGCAACAGTGAGTAACTTAAAGCTGCCAGATACGACCTAAAGCCTGGCATCAGGGCTGCGAAACACAAGAACAGCACACAAATTGCAGTCAACTTCAACACCAACTCAGATCCGCGACGCATGTGGCAAGGGTTCCAAGTCAGTTAATCTCTCTGCTGAACAGAACACCTTCTATGGCCACCTTGAGACCACTGCTCAGGCTCAGCTAACCACTACTGCCTCCACAGAGGGACCAGCACTCATACTGGTTATAGAAAAGGTTAGAAGAGCACTGATGAAGGTCTTACCTTGGAAAGCAGCAGGTCCAGATAGCATTCCAGGTCTCCTTCACGGACATCTTGTGCAGTCTACCGTTTCCACCTGCTTCAAAGCCATCATCCCAGTACCCAAGAAACCCATCGTCTCATGCATGAATGACTACTGTCGCATCACTCTCACACACACAGTCATGAAGTGCTTCAAGAGACTGGTATTAGCTCACACAAAGAGTCTTCCTAGCACTTTGGAGCCCTACTGCACAAACAGATCTACTGATGATGTGGTCTCTCTGCCAATGCACACTGCACTCAACAACCCAGAAGAAACAAACACCTATTTCAGAATGGTTAATTTAATGACTTCAGTTCTGCCTTCAATACCATCATCCTGTTCAGACTGGTCTCCAAACTAAAGAATCTTGGAATAAGGCACTCATTGGGCAGCTGGATCATGGACTTCCGCACCTGTAGACCACAGTCTGTTAGGATGGGTTTACAGAGTGGTGCACCGGCAACAATGTCTCCCTCAGTTTAAGCAAAACCAAGAAGTTGATTGTTGACTTCAGGAGTGAAAGCAGAGTGCACAGACCACTGAGCATCGAGGGGACAGTGGTGGAAATGGTGAGCAACTTCTACAGATCCACTGTGGAAGACATCCAGACAAGCTGTAGCACATGTAACATGTTGCACGTAAGTCTCTGCAGAGGGAGGTGAGAACTGCTCAACACATCACCACAGCTGCCCTCTACCCATACAGTACATCTACAACAAGAGATGTCTGAGGAAAGCCAGCAACATCTCCTCTAACCCCACACACCCCAGCCACTCCCCGTTTGTTTCAGCCTCTGCCATCCGGAAAGAGGTGCTGGAATATCTGAACCAGAACCATCAGATTCAAGAACAGTTTTTACCCACAAGCTGTTAAACTGGTCACATCAGCAACACCAAACAGAACATGAATACACACAATGTGGACTATAACTGATCTAAACCCTGTAGTTTACTCAACATGAGCTCCACTAGTTAATGGGACTGTACACACATTGCACTTTGACTAGAACTCACTATGTCTGAACATTTAAGCTGTAAGCTGTATGCTTCAACACTGAGCTGCTAATACTCATTTACCTGCACTGCACACTTTGTGAATAGAACATCTGTGATGCTCTTTATGAACACATATTTGCACACCTGATCTGGTTTACCTCAACATACTGTGCAATTCCGACTAATACACACTGTTAACGCCTAAGCTGTAAGTCACACAAGAATACATATTTATTGTGGTTTATTTATGTTAGTATAGTAACTATAGTTCGCACCTTAAATTCTGCTTCTGCCTTCAGTTACTGTTCATTCAAGATTCAAGAGTTTTATTGTCATACGCACAGCAGAAACAGGCAGTTACACTGTACAGTGAAATTCTTACTTTGCTGTTCCTCCATTCACCAAATATAATCTTAGAAAAAAAAAAAAATAGAAAATATACACCGAATAAGTAGAAATACACTAAAAACAATAGTACAAAAGTAAAAAAGTACAGTTAAATTTCCCCAGTTAAATACAATTAAGTACAGTTAAATCTCCAAATATCCAAAAGATTTATGTGATTTCGAGGGATGCACTGATGCTGATATCTGATATTTTTCATGCACATATCTGTAAACACTGTCTATGCACCTTTAGACTTTGTACTTTTTTATTGTCTTTGCACTATTGATTTTCTTTTTTTTATCTATTTTGTAATCATTGCATGGAGAAGTAGCCAGTGTTTCGTTATACTGTACAACCCAATGTTTATATAACGGCAGAGTTACATTTGAATGAACCAGGACTTTTATTTCTGCACAGCAGTGAAGAGCTAGAGCTAGACTGTCCTCTGGTGGAGGAGAGGTTAGAGTGAAGCCTTGCTGAGCCTCCACAGCCCACACTTCAACTTTTTACATCAGCCTTCCTGTGAATCCTCAATTTCACTTGTTGGGAGGATCAACTAACCTCCAAACAGCTATTTTTCCTATTAACTGTATATATTGATTTTCTCCAATCCAGATACAGTGTCTTATTTTCATGATATCACATTTCAAAATAGAGCACAGTACATAACTGACATATATTTATTTAAATAAATAAATAAATAAAAAAGTACAACAAATATACCATGTTCTGCAGAGATAGACATGCAGAGTTAATCCAAACTAGTATTGTGTGAGATTAGAACATGCTTTACATACACAAAAACATGTAAGGTCATGAGATTCCCAAAAACAAGTTTTCCCCAAATTTCCAAAAATGTATGTAATTTCGAGGGATGCACTGAGGCTGATATCTGATACTTCTCATGCACATTTCTGCCAATAAATAAACATTTATAAACTGTAGAAATTAGGATTAATCCAGGTGGATTATCACAGAGAAATAAAACGTTTATTTCTGTAGATTTACAAATGCAGTATACTTTAAAAAACCCAAGCCATACGATTGTTTCAGGTTACAACATGCTTTACATGCCAAAAACATTCAAGGTGACAAGCTTTCCAAACATGAACAGAGTTCGTGTAGTAACCCAACATGACCTAAACATTCTGCTCAGTTTGTTTCTTCAAAGGAAATAACCGCTGATGTGTTTAGCATGACCATCTTATCCACAAAGAAAAATGGAAAAATATGACAAATCAATCTAAAATCATCTAAACCGCTTATCCCTCTGGGTCGCGGTGGGGTGCTGGAGCCTATCCCAGCTGTAATCGGGCGGAAGGCAGGATACACCCTGGACAGGTCGCCAGTCCATCACAGGGCGGACGCAAAAGAGGACAATTTGTCACATTTAAAAGCATAGCGATAGTTTAGATTAGATTAGATTAAAGCCTATTCAAATAATTCTAGAACTCTTCCATGAGAAGTTGCGTAAATGGCCTGGAGGGCAAAAAATGGTATCAATGAGCATCAATAGTTTTGTTGTTTTTTTAACCTTTTTTAACCTGAAATTGTTAAAAATTTTCTTAATTTTAATTTCTTTAATTCTTTTTTCGATATATGCCTAATCAAAACTGTAAAACTGTCGTCCTGGGTGTCCTGTTATTGGTAGCGGAATGATGTTTCTGTGTCTTGAGATTTTGTTCATTTGTTATTTATTTATGTTTAAATCGGACTTTTATTATGTTTTCGCGCACTTGTCTTCTGTCGTTCGCGCATCTCGTCGTTTCCGGCTTGGTTTGAATCCGCAGCATGGACGCTCAGGGAGCGCTGGGTAATAAACGCTTTATAATTCTGCATTTACAGTTATAAACTCCGCTAATAGGCGCTTAATCAGAGTCAGGCTACTATGATAAGCTGCACGGACACGCGGGGCGCGCTGGAGTACGGCGGCTATAACATTACAGTGATAAATACCGGCAGTGTTTGCTAAACAGCTTCTCGTTCGAATTTTCCCGTTCGACCTTAAATGCTGCAGCAGTTACATTGTAGCGCCGGCACCATTTAAGGTGGAACGGAAAAATTCGATCCAGAAGCAGCATTAGCTCGTTAAAGCTGCTTCAAAATGCACAAAAATGTGTTTATATATGCCGTTTATACATAACTAACGTTACAGCTTATCAGTATGATCTGCGGCAGAGTTGGTTTGTTCGCTTGGTCCCGTGATCCCGTGTTATTTCGGTAACGTTAAACCGCGGTTAGCGTGCTAAGCTAACTCCGCTGCTATTTGTCCTTCCTCCGCCGCTGCTCTGGCAGACCCCGCGTACTCGATCATGATTGGCTGGTGCTGCCCAGTCGTGCGCTACGATTTGCTGTGAGTTGTGTCCAATCGGATCGAACTCTTGACGAAACAAGGGCGGGAAAGCAGCCGGGCTCCTGCATTAGTTAGCCGTGTGGCTAACCGTTCTGTCAGTGCAGATCTAGAGCCTGTAGTGGTTCTCTTTAACATAAACGTACCAGAAAGACTCTATTAGAACCGTTATTAAATAACTGCACAGTTCTTTAGAGAACCGTACCGTTGAGGTTTGTGAGTGTGAACCAGCTCGTTTAGGTTATGAGCTTCCACATCATGTAGGGCTTCTGTAAAGAACCCTTAAACTGGTTTTAAAGGTTCTCCTCACTCTCTGACCTGTACTTTAGGAAACAAAGAGGTTCTTCTGTGGTATAAGCGCTCAAAGAACCCTTCTGTGGGATAATCAATATTTTCAATAAGAACAGGTTCAGTTTAGCTGATTCTGTTGATAAACAGATGTAGCTATAAATAATTATAATGAGTATAAAAGATGATGAAACACCGATCTGCCTTCGTAATGTCACACCTAGATTATTGTAATTCTCCTTTTATTGGTATCTCTGCAAAAACGCTTTCAAACGCTTCAATACATCCAAAGCTCTGCTACTTGCTTTCTTAAAAACTGCTCACGTCAGTCCGGTTCTCTATCAGTTGCACTGGTTATCCAGTTTTTTACGCACCAAGTCAAAAGTTTTTCTCTTGTTGTCGAAGGTCCTAAATAGTCCAGCACCCCTTATTTAACTGGTCTTCGTCTCCTCTATACCCTGCTGGTACTCTGAGGCCCACCGATGTGGGCTTTTTGGTGGTCCCTGCCTTTAAATGCTCCATGTTTGGGGGCAGATCTTTTAGTGCTACAGCCTCTAAACTGTGGAACTGTCTTATCTCCACACGCCACCCCATCCTCCTCCAAAGGCCACCTGAAACCTTCCTGTTTTCTCAATACTATTCTTTTTCTACTCTCCTGATTTGATTTTTATTTTTTTGGTTGTGTTTATTGTCCGCGGCTGTTATGTGACGCGCTAATTGTAAATGGCCTTGGGTATGTGGAGGGCATTATTGAAATCGAGTATTTTCAACTTATAATAGTAATTCTATGGGAGGATATACAGCGTAAAGTAATCCTAAGTTCTGTTATAGAAATGTACTTTCAGCTCCTAATTCAACTTTTTTGGGTGTAACTTCGTTCTGCTGTGTTGGTTCAGCTCTTGTTTAAAGTGTTTATGAGGATTTCACAACAGCAGATTTTCCAGTGAGCTGAATAACGTGCACCAGAAGTGAACTTTGGTCTAATAGGAATGTCCGTCGTGCCTCCTTCTGTTGGAAAGACTTGATTTTTTGCCCAAGTTATTTGGCTGAGAAGTAAATTTGTTAAATAAACACTTTCTCTCTCTTTCGTAACAGGTATTGAACCAATGGCACTGGGCTCCCCCACCTCCCCAAAGCCTGGCCCTGGGGCTCAGTTCCTGCCTGGGTTCCTGATGGGGGACCTGCCAGCCCCCACCACCCCCCAGCCCAGGACCATCAGCCTGACCGGAGGAGGTGCTGAGATGAGGTCTCCTCTTCTGGCAGGTACAGGTCAAGAGCCAAGATGGACTTTATTGGAATCCCTTTCATCCACAGTGATCAGTGAATTAGTCGCGATTACTTCCGGTTTCCGCGCTAGCAGGGTAAACTAACTTCCGCTCCACACAACCACTGCAGAAGTGATGACGAAATGTTACAGTAGTGAACTATAATGCTCAAACACTCAGCTACAGCAGACATATGTTAGTTTTTGTGCACTGTCGTGACAAATAGTGAGAATAAGAAGTGGATGGAAGCCCTGATTTAACTGTAAACAGAGCTAAAATGCTGTGTGTGGTGTAGCCCTGTTTACTGCTGCTGCAGCTGCTCACATCAAGCAGCCTCTCTGTACAACATGGCAGCGATTTCTGTAATATTTCTGTCTTCAAAAGAAAGAAGAGCTTTTATATGTAGCGTGAATTTGGTAGACGTTGTTTAGCTGTAGCTAGTTAGCTACGCTAGAGGCCATTGCTAACTGTAGCTGTATTCCCAAACTAGGACGCTAGCTTTCATTAGCTGCTGGACCACACAATACAAGTGGACAAGACACATCAAAACATTTCGGGCAAAAATGGTCAAAAGCTGTACTTGTGGTTTTTGGCCAAAAGCAAAAAAAGGCCAGAAATTTTGGCCAAAATAAAAAGCAAAGAATTATATAGGACTTCAGTGAAGTGCCAGAAATGAGTACTTGGCAAATTGTTTGAATAATAAGGAAAAGGAGAAGTAGTGATTAAGCGTGCTGTATGTTTCTTGTGCCGGTCGGCACAGACATGATCAAATGGTTTGATCAGCACATTAACAGTGAAAATATCAGCCGTGTGAAACTATTGTTCCCTGTAGTGTTGTTCCTATGAAAACTCTGTACATACTGAATTCACTTTAGTTTATTTGTTGTAAACTGTAGTTAATGTCAGCTCAGTTTTCTTCAACTGAAAGCAGATTATATAATTAATAAAAGTGTATTCTTCATTAAATAGTATTATTCTTGTTTGTGTCGTCAAAAGCATAAAAATGCCGCATTGAGAAACAGACAGACAAACAAAAACAAAAAACCTTATTTTAGTTCCAGTTGTGTGACTGCGTTTTTCACTATCTTGGTGCATCACTAATGCACAGATGTCTGTACCTGCAACAATGGCAGGTGAAGTATGGTTTTAGTCCCTCTGTACATTTTGCATTGTATTGAATTGAAAACCTTCCAAAAATCCTTTAGAGAACTATTTATGATGAGGTGAGTGTGAAGAACCTTCTTGATGTTTAAAGAACCTCCACTGTAATGAAAGTTCTAGGAAGAACCTTAAAATTGGTGTAGACCCCTTTATATTATGTGAAGGCTTTTTGAAAAGCCTGCAAAAGGTTCTTCACACTCAGATCATTTTTAAAAGTGAGGTACTTGGGAACTAAAAGAAACCATTGAGGTACTTTTTAAAAAGTGCCGTCACTGAAATATTAAAGTGTATGGTTGAGTGACAGTGAGGTGAAAATGCCATGGTCATATTCATATGTATAAATACTTATACATATGAAGGTCTGATGACGAAGAAAATACCAGAAAATGACCACTTAAGGCAGGGGTGTCAAACTCAATCAGTAGAAGGTCCATATTAAAAATCTCATCAAATCTGTGGGCCAGAGAAAAAAGTTTTTTAATTTAATTTAATTGATGTTGTGTTGTAACCCAAACTGGCCACTGTTTATTCAAAATACACAAAAACTTCAACAGTAAAATAGACACTTGTAGTAGAAATATTAGACCTTGAAATATTACTTGACATATTTAAAATTTGAGTGTCCCCAGGTGCTCAGTCCTTTAAACCTACCTAAGCTAGACGCCTGGTATCCTTTCTTTGCTGCAGGTTCATGAAGACTTGGGCTCAGATTCTGAGCTGCTGAGCTGAAGTTCAGTGTTTATGTTGGTTGAAATGCATTTTGGTGATATGATAGATGTGGAATTGCACAGAATTGTGTAGAATTGAGGTGTAATTACTGTCCTATAGCCTGTTGTTGGGGTAGGAGTGTCAGAGCACACATTACGTTGCAGTGCATGCTGGGCACTATAGTGCAGCGCACTGTGAAACAGGCTAATATTAATAGAAAACTAACATACTTTTGTGGGCCGGATAGGATTGTGGGGCAAGGCTGATCTGGCCCGCGGGCCTTGTGTTTGACACATGGGACTTAAAGGATCAAATAGCCCTGAAGGTCTAACACAAGGCGTAGATATCATGGTATCAGATGTGTGTGAGGAGTTCTGTTTGTAATGTGATCTAACTGTTCTGGTTCCATCAGGTGGTTCTCCTCCTCAGCCTGTGGTTCCCACACCCAAAGACAAGAGCGGCGCTCCTCCAGTCAGGAGCATCTATGATGACCTGTCCAGTCCAGTGATCGGAATGTCTCCTCTGGCATCACGAAAACAGGTAACATCTCACTGACATAATTTAGTGAAAACACTTAAATCTGCACTGTGTAAGTTTAGGGGATTTGGAAATATATAACTACACTCAGTGTGTGGAGGAACGTTTTATAGCGTGGGTTGTGCTTCGGCCCCCAAGCAGATGAATCTGTTGATTGACAGAGAATTCAAAAACAACTGTCAAAACATGGGCCCTGTCCCATTGCGTATTTTTACTCCTACCTCTTGTTTTCGAGGTTCTCTTTGCCCCTTGAACTGAATTACAGGGTAGTGTTTGAAATCCTCCCTCTGAAATGGGACCCTCAAATAAAAAGAGCATCACTTCATTAACAGCTACCAGCGCTGCTCTGTAGGCGACCCTGCCAGTCTGCAGTGACAGCAGAGGAGGCTAAAGTTCAGCTCCTCACTGCTGGGCTTTAGTTACATTTAGGGCATCATATGACTTCAAAGAGGGGGGCAATTATTTATGATCACCCACCCCTAATTCTTCAGTGATCTGAAGCTGAAGTCAGATATTCTCCAGCCTCTCGTTCGAATTTTCCCGTTCCACCTTAAATGGAGCAGCAGTTACATTCTGGCGCTTCAGGCGTCAGAACTGCTGGACTATTTAAGGTGGAACGGGAAAGTTAGCCAGCTACCGAGACATTAGCATGCTATTAGCGATTTTTATGCTTATTACAAAGAAAACGACCATAATACACTGAAACAGCATTAAACTAACATAAAACAATGACTATTGTGTTTTTCTAACAGAGAAAATTCTCACATTTTTCTCATAACACACTGGAGTGTCTCTGAAAAACCTCCGTTTGGAGGGTCATGTAGCTCTAACACTTCAGCCCTCGGTCTCAACAAGAATCAGGACGACCTACCCCTAGACGTGAACACTCAGAACGGGGGGGGTAGGGCTGAGTGGTAGGGGTGAGGGGTGAAATGATACTGGGCCTTGGTAAAGGACACGTCTTCCGGGATGAGTGATTTATCAACTGTTGTCATTATCTTCATCAGTACAAGGTTGATTTAACCTAAACATTGAGCTGGATCATCTTTTTGGGTCTTTGCATGTGGCGTCAATATGTAAACACTTTCAATTTCAACACCAAACATTACATGGTGCAGGTTTTTCCCTTTTCGCAGATATAGCTGATCAACCAGGACATGTTTTGGTGTCTGAAAAATTCAGGCTTCAGTTGCTGCTGCTGTTTTTGGCTTTGCTAACATGTCAGAAATCACACAATCACGTCTATTAGAGACACTGAACACCTTCACGCTGAGAGGAGTGTGTGATGATTTAGACATGCAGTTAGCATCATGCTAATTGTGGGTATAAACTTCTGTTACTTGTTAACTACATTAGCCTCGTTGTTCCAGTGCTAAAACTAAAGAAGCAAACTTTCGCTTTTTAACTGTTAGTTTCATTTTAATGTAATATCTTAATTTGTGTATTTTAAAATGTAATTCATTTTTTTCCAGCCTTTTTCAGTGCTGCAGACTCCACTGGCTGGTGTGACAGGAACCCCAGGCACAGGTGAGGATTTACCTCACAGCTTTTAGTGTTAGAAAGGCAGTGAGGCTGGCTTTACATGGTAAAACTCACAGAACTGACTTCTGTGCATGTTTACAGTTAAAACAGACTGTTCAAAAGCAAAGTTGCACACAACACATTAGAATTGTCTGCAAGTGCATCAGCAGTTTCCATCCTTTGGGAGAAAAAGAGATTTTTGACTTTGGTGTGGTAATCTACAGAACAATATTTGTACATGATTTGTATTAGCATATTTTTTTAATTAGCTTTGGGCAGTCGTAGGCTGGAGGTCAGGGAACCAGCCCTGTGACCGGAAGGTCGTTGGTTTGATCCCCTGAGCTGACAGTACGTGAGCAAGACACCTAACCCGACTGCTCCCCAGGCACTGCGGATAGGGCTGCCCACTGCTCTGGGCAAGTGTGCTCACTGCCCCCTAGTGTGTGTTCACTAGTGTGTATGTGGTGTTTCACTGCATGGATGGGTTAAAATACGTAGGTGAAATTTCCCCGTTGTGGGACTAATAAGGGTCACTTAATCTTAAATTTCTAAATGCTGATAAGTTTTCATGTCTGATCACTGTTAAGCTGACTGGTTATACACACACAAAGAAAGTTTGGTTGAAATCTGATGTGCTTGACTCCTGTTGCAGCTGCCAGCATGTTCAGCCCTGCGGGTTTGGGTCAGCAGAGGAAGAGCACCCTCTCACCTGCACAGGTAGATCCTTTCTTCACTCAGGGAGACGCCCTGTCCTCAGAAGATCAGCTGGACGAGACCTGGGTCACAGTGTTTGGGTAAGAGAGTGTCACTGTGTATTTGGTGACTACAATAATTTAACAATTCAGAGTCTCCCACAGATTTAAAATATGTTTCCTTGTTTATTTATTTGTTTGTTGATTTAGTTATTTAGTGATTGTTATTTAACAGTGATTGTACTCTGTTACGTAGTTTTTGTATGCAAGATTATGTGGGCGTGTCAGTTTATATTTAATAAGGATTTTTTTATTTACAGTCTTTATGGCTTATTTAACTGCAGGTGACATTTTTCACTGTGAAACTCTGTATTGTCTCTCAAATATATTTAAAAACAGATGGTCTGACCTGCTGCCAGCCTCAGTTGTAACCTGGAATTTTCATTGTTTCTGTAAAAGAAGTCTGTTTAGATCCGTTTCTCATTTTTGTTCCAGTAGGTCTCTCTGAAGCCTACCAGCCGTTTTTAAACGCTCTGCAGTGTTTGTGTTTATTGTAGTTGTTGTCCTTCAGTTAGTTTGTACACAACAGAAATCTAGAAACCTATAAACTAAAGGTTTTGTAATCTACAAAAGGTGTAAAGCTTGTTTGTTTTGGGGCTGTAGTGCTGTATGCAACAATAGCCACTATTATGGACTTAGCCTGTTTTTCTTTTTAGAACAAAATTATTATGTTAATAAACCTGTTTTGAAATCTTTGCCTGGAACTGCCAAAATCCCGCTGGTGTGGGTTCATGCATGGGTTTCTTTTCTTTTAAAGATGCAGGAAGTAGCTACTTGAGTGCTATAGTGCCCTCTTGTAGGGAGTCTAAATTATTATATAGAAAACGTGTAAGTATATATCTCTATCTCCAATTTTGTCTTCTCTTACATCATTTCAACACACCAGCTGTCCTTTAGGTTGTGTGAAAATGTCATGATGAACCATAGAAATGCTCCAAAATCACTTGGAATAAAATCTCTTTACATGAATTTACATTAAAAGCTGAGTGTTTTTTGCCCTCCTTTTTTTGCACAGCGGCGATACATTACACATTTAACAAAGTTAACATTAAAGCTCTATTATTTTGTTGTATTGAAATTAAAATCTTAATGGGGATTAATACATTTTAGAGGAATTATGTAGTTTTTATTGCAGTGCTGTAGTATTTTAACTTGCGCGTGCAGCTGTCCTAGCACCGGCGCTACCTGCTCAAACAGTAACGTACAATGTTCTGTTCATCTCCTACAGGTTCCCTCCAGCTTCAGCCTCCTACATCCTCCTGCAGTTTGCACAGTACGGAAACATACTCAAACATGTAGTAAGTGTTTCTCTCTGATAATTAATCAGGCGTCTGTTACTGCTGTAGTATGTTCTGTAACACTCAGTTCTGAACTAACGGTGTCATTTTTAATTGACAGATGTCTAATGCAGGAAACTGGATGCACATCCAGTATCAGTCTAAACTGCAGGCGAGGAAGGCCCTCAGTAAAGATGGGAAAATCTTCGGAGAGGCTATTATGATCGGTGTTAAACCTTGTATTGATAAGGTAAGATGCATTTATTCAGCTAGTTTTTATCAGCGTGTCGTTAATTATTTTAAAGTGATTGTTTGTCTTTAGGTGCCTGGACAGTGTCCAAAGTGTGTTTCTTTGGATCTCTGAGGCAAACAAAGCTAACAAGTAATGGAAGCTTAATAATGGACAAAAGCATTGATGAACTTCAGACTTCAGGAGGGCTGTTATTGTGCTTATTTAGCTGTGCCAATGTACTTTAATCCATGCTTATAGTGTTGTACAGTGTCATACACCAAATAGGTCACCATGCTAATTGGTACAAGCATACGTTACTTGTTAGCTTTGTTAGTATGGAGTTAATTTTGTGCCAGATGTTTCAAATAAAATACTAAAATCCTCAAGCAACATATTTGGTGTCAAAATGTCCAAAAAATACAAATAATGAGAGTTAAATCAAACTTCTGTCAATAAGATTACTTCTCATTTTGATATAAATTTATTATAGATTTTGCCAGTTTTTGCTTCAATTTTTTCTATATGTTGATTTTGCTGTTTTATTTTCAAAAGGACTGTCACTCCAAATCAGCTGACCAATAGAGAGTGTAGGTACAGGTGAGCACCATGTTGTAAGACCCCACCCCCCCGTTAAGTAGTGCTAAAAGTCAGAAGTAAAAGAAATTTCAGGAGCAGAAGAGTGATTCCAGAAACAAAAAATATATCAGAAAAATCAGCGAATAGAACAAATTAAAGCAAAAACTGGCAAAATTAATAATACATTTATATCAGCATGAGAGAAAATGAGCAGTAATCTTTCTGAAGAATGAAGTTTGATTTATCTCTGTTTGTATTTGCAACGTATTTTGAAGATTTTAATATTTAATATTTTGTAAATGATGTGTTCATAATTAATAATTTTAATCTGTGGTTGTTTGTGTCGGCTGTTTTCTCTGTGGCGGTTTATCGTTCAGAGTGTCATGGAGAGCTCAGAGAAATGCGGCAGCGTCAGTGGGGTCTTCACTCCTCCGGTCAGGGCTAACAACACCCCGGGTCAGTCTGTGTCCACTCCTCGGTCGGCCATGAGGCCACTCAGTGCTGCTTACAAAGCCTCAGGCAGCGAATACCAGGTACATCACCACACAGACAGGGATTAAAGAGATGGTGTGAATACGTACAGATGTGCAGAGTATGAGGGGCATGTAACATCTCTTATTTACAGTATATTACAGAAAATGAGGATTCTGTACAGTTAAACAACAAATACAGCTATTTATTCACTCATTCGTTAATGTAGTGTTATATTGTGACTTTGGATAAGAGAAAGTGCTGAAAATGTCTTATTGTGCTTCATGTGGTCCTTTAGCCCACACAGTGTGAGCTGGAGGTCTGCACTTCTGCTGAATGTGGGTCTAATTTTCAGTGTTGTGTGTGCTGAGTGGGTGGGTGACCAGTGCACTGCAGGCAGGAGTGGGAAGAAGCACACTACTAAATGTCCTCAGTAAAGTAGAACGATCATTAAATCATATATAGACAATATAAAATTATAAAGTAAAACAGTTAAAATGAATGAAGTCATTCTGAAGAGCTGTGAAGCAGCCGATCACATGAACAACATGCAGATTCTGCGCGACTGAATATTTCAATCCTTCATTTCATCAAGCATGTATTTGGTATCACGACGCTGCTCGCTTTTTCTGGTACCGCCGTCTGTTTTTACACATGAGCAGACTGAGAAATCAGATAGAAATCAAAGTAAGAGTTTACATGCACTGAGAAACCTGATTACTGAGCTAAAATCCAGCTCTAATGATCGGATTTCTTAATCTGATTCCTAGATCAGAGTATGGTGTTTACATGACCATTTGAATAGTCGGATAACTGCAGAAATCCAATTATGATCGAATTATTAAGTGCATGTAACACTCAGTGATTCCAATTTTCTGTGGGAGCAACAGAATCAAAACTAAAAATAGTCCTGCGCAGACCTCTAGTATGAACCTTGGGTTAAAAAAAAAAGCCTAATAAAATATGACCAACAAAGAAAATAAGAATTGGTCATAATTCCTGATTGCTGCATCTCTAGTTAATATAGTGAGTAAAAATAAATAAATAAATGTTTGTTTTATCTGTTAGCAGTAACTACATTGATTTCTCATGTTGAAAGCGGTTATTAAAGATAAAAAATGAAAAGGAAAGGTGAATTTTCTTATTGGCAAAGCTTAAAGATCAACTGGTAATGGCTCTATGTTGGGAATCAAGCCGAAGTCCACACTTTTCTCCACTTGTTCTCATGCCAACACTTAAACCTTTCAGGTTTTTAAAACCTTTTTGGACCAAAAAGAGTTTCAGTATGAGCTTCTAACAATAGTTTGGAAAATAAAATGATCAAACTATTTTTATTATTTAGACAAAACTTCAAACCAAGGAGTGTTGAAGATAAATACACACAACGTATCATGATAAACTAAGCATTTACAGGGATTTTTATTACTTTGAAAAGTAACAGTAGTGGGTTTTCAGTCTTTGTGAATTTTGAAAATGTGCAAAAATAAAACTGACTGAAAAAGGCTAAAAATTCGGAAAAACACCCAAATATCATAAAAAAGAGTTTTATGCTAGAACGAAGTGGAAAAGTTAGAATAACACTAAAGCTGAAAGGCAAAAAAGAGTGATAGAAGAAGGTTTTTCAAATAAATTATGACATATGAAGCCATAAGTAACATTCCTATAGACAGTCTGATCAGGGTGCAGAGCTTTTTGAAGGGCACTTTCAGCATTGTGAAAAATGGTTCTGCACAACAAGCTTCCAGAACTGTGTGGTGTGTTTGTGTTCTCAGATGCAAGGTTGACGTGGTCGGGGTGGTATGAAGATTTCAGCCCTTATGAGGGCCATTGCTGAGCTGCAAACAATGCGGCCTTAAAAAAAAAATGTCAAATGACTCTGAAGATGATTCTACAAAAACGAGTCAAATTTTCTACCTTGCTCGTTTTGATGCAGCTCCTAGTCATGGTAGCTTATGTCATCTAACGTTTCTCTGCATAACTTTTAGTGGATGGAAACATTTTAATTAGCGTTTTTTTTCCTGCCAAATTTTTGTAAATGTGCATATCATTTGTGAAATGTTTGAATAGAAACTCTGCTGGAGAAAAATACTTCTTGGAAAATGTCCAAAGGAGGCTCAGTGTCTCCAAACTCTAAATGTAATGTGTCTATTATTATCTGCAATGTGTTAATAATTAGTTTAGGTGTATTATTGTGCTGTCAGCTTTACCAGTCCTCTGTTTTGTAGGTGGTGTCAGACAGAGATACTCCAAGAAAAGATGACAGTTTTGTGTCCAAAGCGATGGAGTACATGTTCGGCTGGTGATGTCCTGCTGTAAAAGCCCTGAAGCCCACATGCTGCTGTGAACCAGATGTTAACCAGGTATTCCTGAGCACTTTAATGATGGAGCCTGCCGAAATGAGTGGATTGGGCTGTGCGCTACAATAGACTGTTTCACATGGACTGCATCTCTCTGGAGTGTATAGTTTGAAATGATCTGGTCAGAATGGTCTCAATACCAAAACTCTACAGTGGAATATTCATGTCAATGACTAGAAAGTTGTGTAGGAGTGTGGCTGATCTGTGAGTTTGAAAATCAAGGTTTTCCTTCAAGAAAATGAATATTTGGCAACATTTGCATGAGTTTAGCTGTACTGATGGTCCATGAGTGGAAATCTCTGCCTTCCTAACATTACAGCCTTATAGGAGTATTCCAGCATTTTTCACCTGATCTCTGTCTGCTGTATTCATCCGTCGATGAGCCAGACAGTAGTTTCTACAGGTTTTCCTGAACTTGGAAAAGAACAGAAAACCTGTTTATTTAAAAATCACTAATAATAGAAGCCAATGAGAAGTTGCTGAGTTCTGTGAATGTTGGGAATGTTGCACGAAAACAACGTTGAAAGAAAGTTTTATTGAAATTTACAACAATAGAGCAACAGCGGGGGAAAAAAAGTTGTTCTGGTGACTTTTCCTGAGGTTTTCTGGTATCAGTGGCAATCAGGTAGAGCCTTTGTGAACTCCTCCCACACCACTACACTGCTAATCAACAGTTCTTCCCTCTGGAAAAGTAGTCCCATCTCTAAAAAAAATAAAAATAACTAAACAGATTTACAGCTTAATTTACAAACACATTTAACTGAAGAGCTGCACAGAAGTAATAGTATAACGGAACTCAGCAGCAGCCCATTGACGTCTGTTTCAAATCAACAGATTTTCAAGTAATGAAGTTTAAAAAAACGCTGGAATTTTCCTTTAAACTCTGCCGTCTTTCGGGGTGCTTAACATCTCTTTAATAGAAATATATTCAATCATTCTGGTTTGCACTTGGCTGTTTGATACTGATGGTTTTAATAAGACGAAAAGCCAACTTTTTAAAAACGTCTGCTCAAAAATGCATCTGCATTCGGAAACACTTGATTTTAAAGTAATCGTCCTGTTTGGTGAAACTGGTCAAACTCTAGTGGCCTCCTTTGTTTCCTTCTCTTTTTCACATTTTGTATCTGCTCTCTTCTGTATTTCTAATCAAGTTGTGTAAATAAATATTTCTTTCTCTAACAGTTTAGTATATTTGATTCATTTATCCTTAAAGTTCCAGACGTTTGTAGATAATATGGAGCTTTTCAGCAGTGAAGAGGGGTGAAAAGTTCATAGATCCGATCTTCACATCTGGATATTTGAACGCTTGTCTGTTTTTTTTTTTTTTACGTTCTTGAATGTTGGAATGCAGCTTGGGCAGTGGAAAATGACGTCAAAGCAAGTTCATGAAAGACTTCAAGAATGCAGATTAAGATGCACCCAAAGAGACATTATTTGTTCCATGTCTGGATTCAGTTTCCACTAAAATGTGTCCTCAGTTTGACCAGCTGAGGTCCGATTCTACTTTTTCCCCCATGTGTGAAACACATCAGTGCATGTTTTAGTTTAAATTTTTACTTTTCCCCTGTTGTGATAGGAGTCATCAAGCTTGGCTTGGACACTTTCATCGTCCCACAGGTGAGAGAAGGATCTTGTTTTGGGAATCTCCAGCCTTCTGCACCTTCCGTCTCGCATTTCCTTGTTTATCTCCTCACCCACTGGTCAGCGGTCGGCAGATACATTTCCTCTCATGTAATTGTATACAGATGTGGCGAAGATCCATCTCTGGCCCTCATACTGTGGTTTAACTGTGTTTCACATATAGTTTGTTTTAAAAGAACCAAACTGAGTTCTGTTAAAGTGAACCTGGAAGGGAACAAACTGCAAATGACCTCAGTTCATTTTGTGTTCATACTGTAAGTTTTCTTTCTGGTCCTTCGAGATCTCGGACCACTTTTTGTTCAGACATCAACTCCATTAGAACTCGAGAGGAGGTGAGAGGAACCACCAGACCCACCTGCTGCTCTCCTATTGGCCGCGCTGAAATGATTGGCTGAAGTGCATCACGCAAAATTGGACAAATGACCCTGGGTGTCTGCTGCAGTGGCTTCCATCTTCGGCTGTGCTCCTCACTGTCGAAACTCTGCGTCAGCGGTGAATTTGAGTTTAGTGTAAAAAGCAGCTTAAAATTGCGTTGCCTGCCCAGCTTGAGCCTTTAACACGGTAAAGCCATGTGGGCTCTCGCATTTTATCACTTTAATATGTCAGTGCTGTTGTCACAAATCACGGACAGGCTTTATCCTGAGTAGAACCTTATAAATGATCCTTGGGCTGTTTTGTTTTCACAATGTACAAATCAATCAAACCACAAAACAAACTATAAATTAAAAGAGGTGACCTCAGTTTGGTTCGTTTTTGGGGCCGTTCAGAAGGGTCTGTGTTCGTTTGGCGTGTTCACATATGCAAAAAAAACCATAACTGAACTGTCTGAGTCCACTTCAGAGGCTGAAACGGCCCAAGTGTGAAAACGCCCTAAGTCAGGTGTTCTCAACCTTTTCCACCCCAAGGCCCACCTGTTTATAACTGTAAAGCACAGCGGCCAGCAAAAAAAAAAAACAATTTTCATAATTTTTTTTTAAGAGTTTTTCTCTTAAATTCTCACACCGAAGAACTGTGAATTAGGGTCTGAAAAAAATTTGTCCTTTTTTTGTTCTGTCATAGAAACCAAAATTTGCAGTTATGTTAAAACGTTTACAGAGATGGGGAATAAAGATAGATGTCGACTGTGATTCTGAGCTTCAGTCCATCGCGTTTTCACTGAAAATACTCCACTGACTTTCCCACAGGAGCAACTGTTTGGTCTGGAGATGTCTTTTTAGTTTTGAGGGTTTTAGCACCTCATTTGAAGTAAACCTCACTCCACCCAGTGGGCTTTTGGATTTGCTTCGTCATAATCAACAATAATAATAAACCCTACTTGATATCGGCTTCTTTGTGATTGGTTTATCAATTGGTGTTTAACTACTCAGATCGCTGAGTCTACGCCAAAAATCAAAAATCTCTCTGCCATCATTTTAAGGCTCGTCTGTCATTTTTATCAGCTGCAGCTTGACCTGCAGGAACGAAATGAGAACAAATGAGAGTCTGTAAAGTGTCAGACGAAACAGGCAGATTATGCTGACAGTATTCAGTGCTGATGTGTTGACAGAAGAGGGTGGATTTCATTCGCTTCATCCTAAAATGCATCCCACCAGCAGTGAACTTAACAGGGTTCGGTTGGAAGCGGGCTGAGACGCGCGGGTTTGCCAGACCAGTTCAGCTGTTTGATGCAGACCTGAATTCCGAGTGTTCACTCATGTCAAAATGGAGCAAACTAAAGAAAAAAAATTTTGATAGGTCCACAATGAAATAGAGAAATACCCTGAGAAACCTCTCCATCTCTAGCTGGCTGACTGAACTGCGTGCCGGCAGCTGCGCAGTCTCAGACTGATGATGTTTAATTAGCCTGCGACAGCGATGTCTGTATTTGTGTCTTTGTGGTTATTTATATTGGTTAGAATTTTGAAATGTATTTTTCCATTTTTTTAATTATTAGGCCTAAATGAATCTTTTTTCCACTTACATTTTTATGACTTAAAATGCTGTTACCAGCCCATTGCAAACTGTTGCCTTCCCCTGTGTACAGGCCCGGGGACCACTAGTGGGCGCTTCATAGCCCACTGGTGGTGCACAGCCCACAGGTTGAGAAACCCTGGTTTAAGTGATCCAATTCTACTCTGCTCATAGTGTGTCCTTGGATGTTTACAACTGGATTTTGATGCGTTCAAGTGCAATCTCAATGTGATCCTGTCACCGAAAACACATTGATGCAAGGTACAAATGGGCCCAATAAGTGGAAAGGGCTCTTGGTATGGGAATAACTAGAGTCGGATGCTTTTCCACTCCTAATCGTGTGTGGATATAGAAAACGCATTCCATTTAAGTTTGTTGAATATAGTGAATGTGTCTTGTGAGTTTAATTATTTGTAATCCAGTCGCAATGTATCCTGGTTGTTACATTCCACTGTTTCATGCAATGAAGTCAACCTCTTGGAGTAAAAGCTGTTCCTGAGCTCAGATGTTGCTAGAAACAAAAGCCTATGCTGACACGTAGAGAAAAAGAATTGGACTTAGACAAAGTGCAATACATTACAATGAGTACTTAACTCAGTGCTCACTTAAGTGCTGTATAAAGAGATGTGTCTTCAGTCTGCGTTTGAAGGCCGCAAGAGACTCTGCTGTTCGGACAGCCAGTGGGAGTTTGTTCTGCCACCTGGGCTCCAGGACAGAGAAAAGTCTTGATGCTTGTCTTCCACACGTCTTGAAGGATGTCGGGTCAAGCTGAGCTGTACCTGAAGCTCGAAGGGCTCGAGGTACAGTTCGAGTTTTGTCCATTGCCATTAAGGAGGGAGGGGCTGGTCCGTTTTTAAAGGAGCACAGCAGTGGAGTGACGTGACTGAACTTAGTCAGATTGAAGATGAGCCGTGCTGCAGCATTCTGGAGTTACAGGGGGCTGATGGCTGCATAGCTGAGAGCGAGATGCATTAGTCAAGCCTTGAGATGACAAGAGACTGAACTAGCACCTGGGTGGCCTCTTGAGAGAGAAAGCGCTGTACAGGAGAAACCTGCATGACTGAGTCAGGTTTGCAATATGAGCTGAGAACCATAGCTGGCTATCCAGAGTCACACCGAGACTTCTTGCATCTTAAGACAAAATGACCAAAGATTTCTTGAATGAGATGGCAAGATCATGGTGAGGTCCTATAGTTCCAGAGATGAATAGCAGCTCAGTCTTGCTAGGATTGAGCTTCACGTGCTGAGCTCTCATCCATTAAGAGATGTCAGTCAGACATGCCGAGATGCAACTGCAAACCTGAGTATCAGAAGGTGGGAAGGAAAGCATTATTTGGGTGTCATCTGCATAGCAGTGGTAAGAGAAGCCATGAGAGGATAATACATCACCAAGAGAACGAGTGAAAAGAGGAGGAGACTCAGCACGGAGCCTTGTGGGACGCCAATGGAGAGCCTGCATGGAGAGGATGTGGACCCTTTCCATGTTACCTGATAAGAGCGACCCTCCTGATAGGCCTCAAAGCACTTCCACACAGAGTCAATGATTCTAAGGTTTGTGAGGAGAGACAGAAGGATTGTGTGGTTGTGTTGAAAGCTGCAGAGGGTTCAAGAAGAATCAAAACCGATGACCATTTGGCTGATCTTACTGCCTGGAGCTTCTCAGTCACTGCTCTGTGGGCAGTTTCTGTTGAGGGTGCCGGTTTAAAGCCGTACTGGTTTTGGTGCTGGAGCTGGTTCTGAGTGAGAAGGAGATACAGTTGATTATAGACTGCATGGTTAAGAATTTTTGAGGGAAAAGAAAGGTGTGATACCGATCTGTAGCTGCTGACATCGAAGCTGTCCAGTATGGGCTTCTTCAGTATGGGCTTCTTCAGTATGGGAACCACCCTTGCGGTCTGATGGAATGTGACCTGATGACAGTGAGTTATGAGAGAAGTGATGAAGGGCAGTAGGTCCATGGAGATTGACTGGATCAATGTGGATGGGATGGGATTCAGAGGGCAGGTGGTTGGTTTGCTGGATTTGTGTAGCATCGTCTGTGGAAAGAGAAGAAAAGCAAGTTAAGGGATTAAAAGCAGGAAGATGAGGACTAATGGAAGGAGTAGAGTCAGAGGAAAAAGACTAGCAGATTCTATTAACCTTCTCAATAAAGGTGACCGAATCCTAAGTGGTAAGAGAAGAGGGTGGTGGGGGAGGAGAAGGGTTGAGGAGAGAGGAGAAAATGCTGAAGAGCTTGTGTGGATACACAGTACACAGGTTGACTAAGTATATTTTTATTTTCTGTCAGTTCAAGGTAATGCACAAGTAATGTTTATTGACTGGCATCGGCAGCACCGCTCTTGCTTGGCTTTCATCAGGATCAATGTTACCAGGTAGCCTGGAATTATGCCATATGTAACCTCCAGATTCCTTACGAGATTGATCTACTGAAATAAGTCAACCAGGCCCAACGTCAGGGGCTCATAACCCACTGCTGTTTGTACATGCATTAATAGGAGGTAGCAAAACAATCAAAGTGAAACTAAAGCAGAGGCAGCAGTTCGGTTTCACTTTGTGTTTTCTTACTGCCGCTATAGAAGCATGAACAA